GTCATTGATCTCCGCTCTCACAGTTTTTATTTTATAACCTGAAATTATCATTCTTTAGCCAAACAATTGATTTTATTATGATCTATAATCTCACCAAATATTTAATCAATAAACAAACTAGAAATAAAGTTATAGCATTTCATTATTTATGTTATCAGTTTCTATTTGGTTAATAAAGTTAAATGGTTACTCAAACTTAAATCATCGATAAAACTATTAGCTGGAATTTTCTCCGATATTTATTTACGCCCTGTTATAAACCATAATAAAATCAATTGTTTGGCTAAAGAATGATAATTTCAGGTTATACCATTCTCGAACTATTGAGGTTCAAAATTTTAGGTCAATGACCAAATTTAAGCGAACTATTGATGAAGGGAAAAAATTATTCAATGCATGATGTTAACAAATCATTTTTATCGCCCGATACTGAGTTTCAGCTCTCTAACTGATTTAGTTCTCCAGAAAAGTCGATTTAAATGAAAATCGAACTTAGTTGTTTTACGAAAAAAAGAAAATTTTATTTCTCAAAATAAGGACTATTTCTTGTTCAGCATCAAAATTTACCAGGACAAAATGAGTTTCACAAAAAATACTGGGTCCATAAACGTACAACAAGCGGTCGAATTTTCAACTTTGGACTCGATTTTTGTGATAACTATCGATCAGAGAAACTTTTAAATTGCATTAATTGATTCAGTTTTTATGTGCAAACAAACTTACATCGTCTAAATTTGAATGAAAACAATTTTCGCTCGTTTTAGTCCATTTTTGTCAACTTTTTTTCAATTTGTGCTTAAATGAAACAATTGTGTTAAAATAAGTCTTTTTAGCAACAACCAGGTTTTAGTTGAAGTGTATTAAGTTGCTTTTGCATAAACCTTAAGATCATAATCATACAATTCTCGCCGTTCTTCGACTTTTATTTAACAGATTGCAGTTGTTAGCTTTGCAACTTATGTTCTAATCGACAAAAATCACATTCTTAATGCCAACAAAACCTTTGTTTCAATATCGTTGATCAATATCCTCAATGGACCATTAGCTATGCTTCCAATAGTTATTGCTTTTGGGGCTAACGTAAGTTAATAATGACCTTTCAATATAGCAACTAACAAATTGTACTCTAGTTTTTAATCGCAATCAGAAGGATAAATAACTACCTCGAAGGAGACGAACTCGATGCTAATGCTGTTCTACATAAACCTGATCCAATCAGTGCAATAAACATCACTGAGGCTACTTTTTCTTGGTCTCCTGAAGAAGAGCCAGTTCTTAAAGACATTGACATGAAGTTCGAAAGAAATAAGTTGGTTGCAATTGTAGGGACTGTCGGTAGTGGCAAATCATCTTTGATATCAGCTATTTTAGGTGATTTGTACAAAAGCAAAGGATTCATCAATGTGGACGGGAAGGTTGCTTATGTACCACAATCGGCTTGGATAATGAACTCAACAGTTCGCAGAAACATTCTGCTTGAGAATCCTTTTGTTAGAGATAAATATAATCCAGTTATTGACGCTTGTGCCTTGGATCCTGATTTTAAACTACTATCAGGTGGTGATGCCACCGAAATTGGTGAAAGAGGAATAAACATTTCTGGAGGACAGAAGCAGCGTATTTCAATCGCACGAGCAGTTTACTCTGACTCTGACATTTTTTTGTTAGATGATCCATTGTCTGCCGTCGATGCACATGTCGCAAAACATTTATTTGACAATGTCATTGGACCTGAAGGTTTGCTCAAAAACAAAACTCGACTTCTAGTGACACATAGGATAACCTTTTTAACCCAAGTTGACCAAATCATTGTAATGAAAGATGGCAGAATCTATGAAAGTGGAACTTATTCTGATCTAATGGCTAAAAAGGGTGAATTCGCTGATTTTATCGCCCAATATTCGAACGAAGAAAACAATGAAGAAGAAAAAATAGACCAAATTTCTTCCAAAGAGTTAAACATTGCAAGACAAGTCTCAGTGACGAGATCAGATTCAATGCATTCACAAAGTGATACAACGTCGGTAGCTTTTACTAGAACAATATCAACTAACGGACTTGAACGATCAGATACGCAGACCACCTTTAAACTAACCGAGAGCGAATCTGTCGAGACTGGATCAGTAAAGTTAAAAGTATACTTAAAGTACTTCAAAGCTATCGGAGTGATGTCGTGTTTAGTCACAATTTTACTCTTCATGGCCACAAGTGGATTCAACTTAGGAACCAGTCTTTGGTTAACTTCATGGTCTGACGATTCTTTGGATCCTAATAAAATGAATGATACTGCACTTCGTAATAAAAGGCTTTCAGTTTATGCAGGCTTGGGATTTTCAGGAGCATTTTGTACTCTAATCAACACCATAATCATGAATTTTGCTACCATTGCCGGTGCTCGTTGGATCTATGAAAAAATGTTATCTCGTTTAATCCAAGCCCCAATGTCATGGTTTGATACAACACCATTAGGAAGGATTATTAATCGTTTCACTAAAGATATCGACACAGCGGATACACTGATTTATTATAATCTTAATGTCCTTATGAACCAATTTTTCCGAGCAATTCTATCAATCGTAATCATTTGTTTGGAAACTCCATTTTTAATCATTTTTATATTCGTTCTTGGTTTCATCTACATAATTGTGCAGGTAAGTTTATTCAATTATGATCTACTTATTCGAGAATATCATTAATTAATGTTTTATTATTTCAGAAATTTTACATCGCCAGTTCTCGACAATTAAGACGTATTGAAGCAGTTACAGGATCTCCGATTTTCTCTCATTTTTCAGAGACAATTTCTGGATCAACTTCCATACGAGCTTATGGAGTGGAACAGAATTTCATCAATGAAATGAACAAAAGAGTTGACACTAATAATGGCGCTTATTTCCCCAACCTTGCAGCGAATCGATGGTTAGCCATTAGACTTGAACTGCTAGGCAATATTATTGTCACTTTAACAGCAATTTTTGCTGTGGTCAATCGAGGTAAATCAAGTCCTGGAGCAACTGGTCTTTCAATAAGTTATGCTTTACAAATTACAACCATTCTTAATATGCTTATCCGAGCCGTTTCTGATATTGAAACCAACATTGTATCGATTGAGCGTTGTTTGGAGTATACAAAAATGCCGATCGAAGTAAGTTTAACTTTTTATTGTCAAAGTTTAATCTAATTTGATTGTTTTTTAGGCACCTTGGGTTATACCAGAGCACAGACCATACGAGTCATGGCCTGAAAAAGGACAAATTGTATTTAGAAACTATTCGGCTCGATATCGTCCTGGTCTTGATTTGGTGTTGAAAGATATTGTTTGTGTCATAAAATCTAATGAAAAGGTTGGAATAGTTGGTCGAACTGGTGCTGGGAAGTCATCATTAACATTGGCTTTGTTTCGTTTGATTGAACCAACTGTTGGAACTATTATAATCGATGGAGAAAATATAACTAAAATGGGGCTTCATGATCTTCGATCTCGACTTACTGTGATACCTCAGGATCCAGTGCTTTTCTCGGGTTCTTTCAGGCGTAACTTTGATCCTTTCGATATTTACACTGATGCTGAGATTTGGAAGGCGCTGGATCAGGCTCATTTGAAGGTTTTTGTCAGCAAATTGGATAAAGGTTTAGATCATGAAATTACTGAAGGTGGGGAAAACTTGAGCATAGGTCAAAGACAATTGGTCTGTTTAACCCGAGCTCTTCTTCGTAAAACCAAGATTCTTGTACTTGATGAGGCTACAGCTGCAGTTGATGTTGAAACGGATGAATTGATACAGCAAACAATTCGTAAGGAGTTTGCCGATTGTACTATTGTAACCATTGCTCATCGATTTAACACAATTTTAGATTATGATAAGATCATTGTTATGGACAAAGGGCAGATAATTGAATACGATTCCCCGCAAAGTTTACTCCATAATGATCGCTCTGTTTTTTATTCAATGGCAAAAGATTCTAAGCTTATATGATTTATCTGTTTCATTTAAAGAGGTACAATAAATTATCGAACATAATTCAATCACAATTTAACTTTGCGAATTGAGTTAAACACTTAACAAATTATTTATTGAAAATAAATAAAATTTGGACAACAGAATGACAAATCTCTGTGTGCTCTTCGATCTCATTTTGTCAATCACTAAGCAATTAAATATCTTCGATGGCTGTTGCTTGGCTGAAGGGTGTTTCTGTAGTTTGGACTGTTGAGGCATTCCTTCAATTAACCATAAAAATGATTAAATAATCACATCGAGATTTTCATTACATTTTAAAACAGCCTTACAAAATAATCAGTGTGATAAGTCGATGAAATAATAAATTGTATTTTCATCTATGATAATAATGGCTATCAAGAGTGACAAAAACACCCTTTAGGTTGTTAACTCAATATTTTTTAGGTTCATCAGCTCTCAATTTAGCAAAAGTTATCGTTAAAAGTTGTTTAAAATATTATTTGGTTTTTTCATTAAATTTCTGGTTTTATAAATCCTTTGCAATATTTTTAAAATGACTTCAAAATTTATTTGTGTTTTATTATTTGGGTTATTCATCAATTATGTTTATGCTGATGAAGTCGAGACCCTTACAGTTGATGTAACCGAAGTGGGTGATACGTTTGTATCAATGAATATAATCGCACCTTCACATTTGAATTACACTTACTTCGAAGGAATTAATGTTCAATATTTACTCCAAGGAGGTGAAAAACAAGAAGGTAAGATATATTAATATACTTTTATTATAATATTATTGAATTCAATACTCATACATAAATTATCTTTTGAATGAAATAAGCAGAGCTTATTGCAGTAAATGACAGACGTAAAGTCAAAAACATAAGAGTCAACCATCTTGAACCGAATAGTCATTACATTTTAAATGTTTCTGCTAAATATGGCGATGTATATTTGGCCAACTCTAAAGGAGATATTGAAGTTACCATGAAGGCTGCAGCACCGAAAAGTGCTCTAGTAAAAGAGATCAAATTACAACTGAATGGACAAAATGTTGCCACTTATCACATCCAAGTAGATCGGGTAAATTTCATTGAAAAATCCCAACAGTGAAACGAGTTAATAACCAATATTTTCTTCTTTCATTAGATAATTGGAATCAATAAATTAGTAAATTGTGTAAGTGCAACAGTAGAAGTTTCATACAGCGATGTTTTCACTCTTAATTTGGTTTATGGTGAACGGTATTCAGTAAAAACATGGTACGTTGATACAGATGGTAGAGAGTCAGCCACGGTCACTTCTTACTATGTTTAATTTACGTTGGTTTAACCTTTTCTTGTGAACAAAATTCTGGATTGAAAATAGAAAATTAAAGTTAAAGATTCAAAACAAAATAATTATGTTATTTTTCTAATTTTAAAAGTTAAATCGGTTAAAATTTACAATTCAATTGTAAATTTCACAAAATTTGGCGCCATAATTGTAGATTCCGACCGGTAAGAATAACCGAGCAACCCTGGTATCCAATCTTGAATCTGAATGTCTTAATATATTGATTTAAGAATGATTATTAACTTTAAGAGGTTTAAAAATTTCAGTTCTGCGATAGTTAAGAGTCTTAAATTAAGATTAAAATTTGATTTAAGCTTCTATTCTGATTGTACATGCAAAAAGATCTGAATTGTACTCGTACTCAAGCTAGGACTCGGATCTGAAGATTTTCAGGTAGATAGGATTTGTTTTCTTCTCGAGTGCATGGTTAAATGTTTAAATTGCATGTTTAGTTTTCAGCTAATTGATATTTACCATTGAAATTTATTTTAATTATCGTAACACATTGGGTCTTCTGGTCATATTTTCCAACATTGGAAGTGCTCTGAAGTTTACAGCTGATTATCTTGACCAAGTTGAAACTTACCGTCAACCTGTTTGTTTACGCACTTGTTTTTAAAGGTGTTGTGCTTCTTTTATGGAGAACTTTAAACTATAAAATAATCTTTCAACATGAATTTGGATTTGTTTGGTGTTGTTTTGGACGAGATCGCTTTGGAAGGCTTGGAAGGAATAACATTGCCTAGTTTATGGGTTCGTTTAAGTAGTGATTCAGATACCAGGTTTTCACTTGATCCTAATGATGAAAGTGTTCAAGAATTTGTTTGGTCCAGGATCATCCTACCGAAAGCTTCTGATAAAGATTTACAATTATACCGCCTGCCTAAACCGAGGCCAACAGTTCAACTTTATAACCGGTATGACTATGTGAACCCAGATACTGGGGCATGTATCGAGAACGATGATGTCCCTGAAGACGTTTATGATATTGTTACTCCTATCAATGACGGAAATGTTCGTGGATCATGTAACACATTCACCACAAGAGTAGATACAACTAAAACTATTTTAGGTAAAGTAACCGATTAATTAACTATTATGTTATTAAATATGTTCCAATTTCATTTAATTTTCGTCTTTCTTGTCCACAGAGAAAAATTTGACTGTTAAAGATGTTATGGAAAAATATGGACAGAAGTTAGTAATTGTGGCTAGTCAAAAACTTAGAGAATATTCATTAAGAATTCCTTGCTTCGATCCTTGCCTTCCATTGAATTCTATGCAATATTGTGTTCTAGAGAAAGTTGGCCGAGCGAGGAAGTTTGGCGAAGTGACTGTGGGTAAAGAAGCATCAAAATATCGTGAATCACCAAAAACTTTATTCTATTACCGAAAAATTCTGTTAAGACGTGGATTGATAAAGAAACAACAACATATCATCTCAATGCGTCAAAGTGGTCAAAACAGAATTGGTTTGGTCCTAACCTTACCTAGATTTCATTTCATTCGTATGACTCCGTTGGCGAAAGCCGCATTGAAAACTAGTGACATACTTTTGGATGAACCAGATTTTATCTGTGATTATTACAAACTTCAAGAAAAAGTAGGAATCAAGAAAAAACTGTATAGTTCGATGTTCTCCAATTATACTAAAAACTTTTCTGTTAATGAATGCTTGGAAGAGAATAATTCTGGAAGCGGAAAACCTCGTGCCCGTCGCAAAGTGAAACTTATCAAAATGGTTAAGTTTGATGCCGAATCTGAAGATGAAAATGAAGGCGACGAAGATGGAGAAGATAATGACAATGAAATTGAAATTGAGGGATATTCGTTGAAAAAAATACGTAACTTTGCAATGTTTGCAAAATCATTTGACCCAAAAAGGATCAGAGTAGATCGACTACTAACCGCTCAAGCGTTGGAAAGTATTGACAAGTGTAAATCACCTGATGGTATCAGTCTTCGAGAACTTGGAGAAGAATTACGTCTTCCAAAACTCGAAATTAGACAGCTGTCGCGTGTATTGGAACGAGCCAATGAAGTTACAACTATGATGACGGACCATGGAAAGCAAAAAATCAAGAAATATCAATCTATTCATAAAATTGATCCAAAGAGAAAAGTTTTTGAAGGGGAATTATCTCTTAAATTCGGAGCTAATGAAACTCTTACCTTTCTTCGACGAGCTAATATTATACTGGAAGCTGTACGGAAGAACAAGATTTTTGATGAACTAGTCACATTTAAAAAACTGATAAGTGCTGCAGAAAAAGACTCACCCTACATGATTGATCGTAAATCTATAAAGACAATCATAAATAAGCTTGCTCTTAATGGTTATGTAAGATACATCAAAACTTTATTGACCTGTCATGAAAAAGAACACAAATTGGAAATAGTTTGTGATCCCAGTATAACAGCGAATAGTCCTTTGGTTCGAGATAGAATTGAAACCAACAAGTTCAGATTTTTTGGTACCTCTGGTGAAGACTCTTACAGCAATAAATCGTCCAAAAAATCTCGACAATCATCCAAGAATAGTTCTACAGAATTTGAATCGGAATTGAAATACAAACCATCAATAGCCAAACGTTATGGATACGAACCTAAAATGAAAAAACTGATGACTCTGTACAAATTTTTGTTTCATGTTATGTGTGTGAGTGAATCTGAAACCTACAAAGACTGGAGGGAACACATCCCTAAGCTTATACTGAATACTCATGGTAAATATTATTATTGCATAAGAGCGATAATCGATGTTGAATATCTTTATTAAGATTGCTAATCATTCTCTTTTTATTTCTCCCATTGTTTAGGATCGTGTACATTGGGCGCTATTATTCCAAGGATACCCCTTTCTATATTTGTTAGCATAGTTTTTGTTAACTATGTCATTCCCGAGTTAGAAGAATATCTAAACGATCCAAATCGTCGCAATTTAACTCTTTCAATGTTGCCTCTTGATCTACGAAGTAAATTGATGTTCAAACGCAAATATATATTTAATATATTTGAGGAATTGGTTTCTTTGACGCACATGGGATTAGTTAAGCTTGATTACACGGATGGCTGTCCTAAAGATACAGCTAAGATAACTATCATTACTCGTATAAGTTTTATGGACTGTGATACTGTCAAAAGTTACGAGTTCCATTCTCTAGCCGATTTTGAACGATTCAACAGTGATTTATCTTTCCATTGCTCACGAAATGATTGCACCAATTGTTCACTTGATCCTAGGCTGTTTGCACATAATCAACGTAATTGGACTTACTCACCATCTATAAGAAATCATCTCAACAACTCATCAAGTGAAAATTTAATATTATCTGTTCGATTGCGATCTAATCTATCTAATTTAAATGATTCATCTAATCAACTCCGATATGAAGCTTTAAAATCGAATCCTGTAGCTCACAAGAGACTAGCAAATGCATCTACTGAGGTAGGTGAACTTAATGGCCCTACACCAGCCAAACGGCAAAGGAAGAGACCTTCAAAGAAAACTGCGGAGAAAGCAAAAGACGGAGGAGTTAAATCAAAAAAGACCAAAAGACGATTACTTCGAGATGAAACGGATATAAAAGCAATCAAACTAATGAAAAAAAGGAGAGTTCAATGGAGCAAAGAGGAAGATTCATTTTTATTAATGTGTCGTATCGCATCCATCTTATTGGATCCAACTTGTCCAACCTTTGTGTGTGTTTCTGGTAGTTTGATTCGTGATGAACTTCACAAATATTTACCAGAAATTTCTATGGATAAAACTGTAAAAGCGTGTCAACGTCGTTTGAACTATATGTTGAAAAAGAACCGAACTAGAGAAAACGTTATGGAATGGGTTTCTGATGTTAAACAAGAAATTGATAGTTTGAACATTGGCCGTCCTACTACATCTAAAGCCGATACAAAAAGTTGGTCTGAGTCATTCCTTAAATATCTACACATCTTACTCACCAAATTTCAAGCTTACCATCTGAGTCTTTCATCAACATCTAATAACAATTTGGCAACAACCTATGAAACATTGGACCAACTGAAAAGTGCTCATAAAATAGTTGAATCCCATACATCTATTTTACCATTCAAACCCGATCTCTACAAGGAACCTGAAAACATTGTGGACATGTGTGTTTCTGTGATTCAAAATGTGATCACTTCAACTTTAATGTACAATGTTCACGAAGTCAATCGACTCAATGTTGAAACTAATTATTCACATACGTTATTTAAAATTTATCAATGTTATCCTGATGTGTTGATTCGATCAGTAATAGTCAAGCTTTCTAAAAATCGCATAATGACTAAAGTAAGACGACTGGCAAACAATGCACCAAGCTCATTCAAAACTCGTGGCCTTTCTCCATATAAAATATCTCAAGCTTATTTATTTAAATTGAAAACTAAATTTTGTATAGATACTTTACCGATCTCTATTGAAGATAAATACTTAACTATGATCGACAATGGAAGTCGCACTCAAGCTTGTATAATTTCTAACCTATTTGCTGCTAACATGGTGCAATTCAATATAACTATACCCGATAACTTCGTATTTATTGATAAAGGGAAATTGGAAAATCGTTCTCGATCAGATGCACCGACAACTTCTATCATCTCTACTGAAGGATCACGTTCAATGTTTGAAGATCCAAAACTGGCTTCTCGATTTGCATTGTATTGTTTCCGAGAAAAACTATGTGACGATACTTTTGCGGCTAAACAACATTCTCAGGACTATTTAGCCATCAAATCATGCCCTGTAACTTGTACAAGTGATGATATCTCTTTTGATTTCAAGCCTTTCATGGATCTTCTCAAAATCCAAGGGATGCTCAAATCAGATAATTTACCCGTAGATGATAGCGCTTTACGCAAAGAGTACAATTCTTTAGTTGAATTTATCATAAGTTGTGGTGAACTCGGGGCAACAGAAGATGCAATATTGGAATTCTGCAATTATAAGTGGCCAGAAGAGGCTATTGCTCATCTCACTTCGACCGGAGAGCTTTTCGAAGTTGGTGTGATGAAATATCGTTTGGTGCATTACAACAATGTTGATCATTGGCTGGTTCATTCTGTTAGTCAGAATAACGAAGAAGGAAAATCCAGATCTTTACGATTTGTTCCTAAACTTTGGAAAGATGCCTATGGAAATGTACATCGCAAAATTTTGTTCCATTATATCTCATTTGTTTTAGGAACTCTTTTAAATAAACCAGGAATTTCCCAGGAAAAAATATTTGCCGAATTATCCGAGATAATGCCACCTGTACAAGTTTTAGACATTTTGAGATTTTTAAAAGCACTTAAATGTGTTGAACAGAGTGTTGAAAAAGAGCCCAAATCAATAACACTATTTGATGACTGCGACGATTTTGATGATAATGATGATATAATGAACATCCAATCCGAAGGATCCACCAACCAATCTAACTTCAAATTAGCAATTTATTATAAAGCTACTGCTATTTCATTTGTAAACCTTTGTCAAATCAAAGCGGTTCTAAATGTTTAAATTTTTTAAAACAATTGTAAAATTATCTGTAACACATGTAAATCCATAATCAAACTGCCAATTTGATAAATTAAATAAATTAGTCAACTATAATACCAAAGAGCAAAATATTTTCCCGTATTCACACAATCTATTTTCAATATAACACCCAAAAGACGTTCATTAAAAAGATGAAAAACAAATCAATATCAGAATCATTACCAGAAACACAGTCAAGTTTAAACAAAATCCAGCCACACCGAGTTTTAAAATAAATTAAGATATTTCAGAATAAAACTGAATAAAGATTAACAATAAAACTTCCTATTTTTATTACTACGTAATCTATTTAATTTTGTTTATATATTAAAAATTAAAGCTTTCTGAAAAGCGGCCGTTTAGCTCAGTCGGTTAGAGCGTCGTGCTAATAACGCGAAGGTCATGAGTTCGACCCTCATAATGGCCAATTAATTTTTTGTCTTCATTAAACTGACATCTCAACTGAAAATGTTTAAATTGGTTAACTTATGGAAAGAATAACTTCTAGATTGTAATTAGCAATCAATATAATTAAGAATTTTATTTTTCAATTAACAGTGAATTAATTAATTAATTTTAATAAGTTACTCTTTCACAAATCCAATTCATATGCAGCGCCATTTTGAAACATCATCACTTATACATGGGTTTAAAGCAAAAATAATAGTTTTGTGATTATAAAGGCGTCTCTTTATTTTGAAACCATATTTCGCATCAACTGTGAGGTTAATTTTTCAATCCTCTTAACATCTTGATTATTTTTAGCTAAATACATCAAACATATTTGATTGTCAGTCAGTTTACAAACAAGTTTACCATCATTGTGTCGATATTTGAGGACGAAGCGACATTTTATTGGATCATCAATATATAGTCCTTGCGCTGCTTTGATAAACTCATCCCAATTATTGATGTATGGCATAACTGTCACTCAAGATGATGATGGCGGTCTTAGTAACACTATTTAAAACGAGAAATTGTACAAAATTTTAAACAAAAAATTAATTTACTGAGGGCAAAGGGTAAACATTCACCATAAAAGCTTAATCTTTTGAAATGAGATCAACAAGAAATGGTTGAAACCTAATTATCAGATCCTAAAAATGTGATTGACGATTTTTGATATATTGATAATTACATTCGATATATTGATAATCAAGCCATTAAAAGTTATTCAGTGAAAATCAGTGATTTTAAATCACTCAGCATTCATGTGAAGTTCAAATTGTGAGCAACATACGTCATCCCATGAAACTAAACAGAGTTAGTCGATTTCCGATCTAAAGGTAATCTCCGATCGATCTTAAAGCATCAATAAATATCGATATCAACTCACAAACACCTGACTTGTTACCAATCGTGTTAAAAATTTACTCGTATTGATGATTTATTTTTATATTTCAATTTTTTTACTTGACCCTTGAAATTGGTGAAATTTAATTGCAAGATTAAGCAAAAATACATTGTATTAATTAACTCAAACAGTCAACCCTTAATCGTGAATCTGTGACAAGCTGGAAATATGACTTAAAAGCAATTCATTTTTTAAATTACTTGCCAAACTGAGAGAACCTGGCAATTATAATTTAGTAAATTGTAAAAGTTGATTGAGTTAATCTAAATAATGATCTTTTAACTTCATTATAACTATTGAGTTGATTTGCGTTTGTAAAATCCATCATAATTGGTGTTTCATTATTAAAGTTAACACAATGAGAGACTCTTTGAAATGACAAATCTATTGAATTAATAATAACAATAGTTAAATGGTCTTTTATGAGTTGACATGAAAGTTCAGATTGATGAGATTTGTTTCATTCTCCTCAATCGATTCAAGTTACCTAGGAACCCATTAATTTTACGTTTTACTTGTTAATAATAATGTTGCTCTGTTTGGTAGTAAAAAATCAATAATTAAAATTTGCTTTTATTGATCAACAAAGTGACACCTTGATCGAACTTAGAAAACAAAGTACAGCAAACAATCAAATAAAATGTTAGTTTACTTCATAAACTATTAATAAAGCAAAAAAAATCGAGTTAGAAATAGGTCAGAACAAGAATGGTCAAGAAGAGTCATTTGCGCCTCTGTTATCTTGACCACATTAATAGTTGAAGACATTCACAGTTGGTCTGTTCATAACTAACAGTGTTTGGTTGACATTAATTTTACAAAACATTGGCTCCAGTCTGCTGACAAGCTGTACTTGTCAAAATTGAGTGTTAAACATGTTAATAAAGTTAATTTAAATTGTCATTTCGATGTCTTGCTTCTGTCTCAGTGCAACTCTTTCATTGGCTGGTATCTGTTTTACCGTTGCTGGAACGGTTGTCATCTATTTCCAAGCTTCACAAGATTCACAATTAGCTGACTTTTGGCTTCTGTTGGTCATTTTACTCGGCATTGGATCTGGTTTGACTCTTTTTGGTACCATTTGTGGTACACTTACATATTGTTGTAATAAATCCCGTAATGATAATAACAAAGTTGAATCGTCTGCAACCAAACGTGCCTGGTCATCGGATGATCCTTAAAAGTAGCCATTAAACCAACCTCAGCAGATCGCCATCAATTGTGCAAGTTGTAAGCTTTAATCTAAAGGTAAATTCATGAAAGTCAAGTATTTGAATGACAATGAAATGGTTTTGCTGTTGATTCAATCAAACACTGAGAAGTCTGTTAATTCAAGTTCAAGCTATTAGAGGAAAAAGACATTAATCTTTGAATTTATTGAATCAGCTAAATAAATGGAAATGATTAAACATTGTGTCTTGTTGAACAGTCTTAAGATGTCACCATTGAGCTGAATCTGAAACCAGAATCGATTAGTTTCATTCTGACATGGACAGTGTTGCTACTGCAAACCTTTGCTCATAACAAACCTTTTGTATTCAGTTTCATTCTGAACTTTATCCTAATGTGGCTACATATCTGGACTATAAAAGATACTCAAGACAAAAGTTAACAAGTTAACCAACAATTTGACAAGTCATTTTTTATACAAAAAACATTGACAATCGGGTCATTTGACAATTTGTGATCTTTCAATCATGTTTAAATGTTTACAAAAATTAAACTTTATATGTAACAAATATCATTAACTGTTATTGAAAGGTAAACCGTTCTGTCCAATTAATCATTAAACATTGATTACAACAGATTTCATTGATTTGCTTCTCTTTCAGTATTTTCAGTCAATCTTTTGAACAAAATTGTCTATCCAATCCTCATGTTTATCTGTTTGTGATATAAATCAATGTGAAGATCAAATTTGCGAACAAAATCATCAAAAAGCCTGCTAAATCTATCAAAAACAATGAGTTTATCAACAATTTTATTTACAATTGTTTCCTTTTTTACCCTTTACCATTCAATAGGTAAGTTAACCTTTAACCTTGTGATTATCATGATTGATGAATCCACTTTATCATTAAATATCAGGAGCCATTGATTGTTTCAAATGTGTCTCTTTCAATGGAAGTAATAAAATGTGTGAAGATCCATTTCATAACAATTATTCAACTGAAATCCTGGAATCACCATGTTATGCTGGAAGGAAAAGTCGTAATGGAGTGTTTCCAGCTACAGCTTGTATTAAATTAAGCGGTGTATTTGGTAAGTTATACGTTAAAACCAGCTAATTATAAAACTGTTAATAGAAGCAATTATTAATTTCGAAAAAAGCGCTCATCTGTATGTGATATTAAATTAACCGCCTTTACATTGAGTCAAGGGTCAGCTTTAAGATTTGGCTCCAAATCGTTTCTTACAATTATTTGTTGATTAAAGTATAAATTTAATATTTTTTTCCGTTTAAATTAATTATTCTCGTCTCTGTTTTGGTATTTTGATTGTTTGCTAATTAAATTATCTTATAATTGGTAACTAAGTTCAGTTCAAGTTTTTTCTCTGCTATTTTCCATTCTTTTGTCTTTTCTCAGCCAACTGTTTAAATGTGTTTACATTTTGATTTACTCTTTTTGTGACCTTATAACCATAATTATTGTGATTAAAATTACCATTGCTGTCAGTATTATTGAAATCATTAATAGTCATCTTCTGCCACTGCAATGTGGCAGAAAAAAGGAAACGTGGTTCGAGTTAACACTGTGATTAGTATGTCTCAGGTTGATCAGTTTATTCAAAAGGGAAAATGTTAAAGTTAATGTGAATTACTGCATTGAAAATGGCTCTGATATTTTCTGCATTGAACGTGACTTTCCACCAAAACTTGCCAGTATCACTGTACTGAATGAATGTACACAAAGACATGGTTGGAAGCAGCAAAAATTATCATTTTTCTGATAAAAAAAGTGAAACTTCCAGAGACATTGCTGTATATTACAATTCACCTGTTCCCTTCATTATTATTTCAATCCATTATTAATATCATTGTCTGTCCATCCATTGGTTTTCATCTGTAAAGGACTTCAATTTTACCCAGGACAGGTTGATTTGTTTTCATTTCAATTTTGCTTATTTTTACAAATTTTCCCTATTTATTTATTTATTTTCCTCACTTTTTCATTTTCACCCAACATTTTCCCATCCAGGCAGCTCAATTAGATTGAAATTTAAATTAAATCACTTTGGATTACTTTGATATCTTGGATTACCTTTTGAATTACCCTGGATTGCCTGCTTAACTTGAATTGTACGTGCAATTGTTTTCACCTCCTCAACACTCAAATCTCTCAATGGTTACTAACCTTTAATGCCCAGCCAATGCTTTAAGTGTTAATTATTCAATCGATTGAAAGTGTCTCTCAAGTTTACAATCAAACAATTGGAAGACCACCAATTTAAAGGCTGTTTTAAATAATTACAATGTACTTCTATTAACAAGCATTTCTGTTGTCACCCTCATCACAGTGTTGATCCTTTTTTAATGAACCTTTTTGATTGACTGGTTTCATTTAAGATCTCAACCTCATAATTACCAGCATTACATTTCCAGCCGATTAAATCGTGAAAAGATGAAACTCAATTCAAACTAATTAACTCACTGAATTTATCATTGACTTTTCATTTAGTCTACTTTACCTTCCTCTCTCCATTGTTGATCCTGAGTTGTCTGAGTAATCGATTTGCTGGATAAATGCCTTTTCTGTGTACTAGACTTTAGTTTGTTTTTTTTGTTAACCATCATTAAATTGTCATTTTGATTGTCTCATCTAATCGATTGATTCATTACTATTATCATTACAGTTATTAATATTATTATTACCTTTAGCCTGAGAAGCAAAAAAAAACGAGAAGATTGATCTTGATGTTTTCATATTGATTTATTGTATTGAAGAGCTCATAATTTTATCGTAAAAAACCTTATACATTTATATCATCACTTAACACAACATTTAAGATGAAAACATCGCCAATCAAGCAAATGTAAAACCTTTACATGAGTACAGTTATAAATGAGACTCTTATTAAATTAAGATTGTAAACTCGTCAGAAACACACATCGATACAATCAAACAGCAATGCATTTAAATTAACGTCAAACTACATCCAGTAACCTGTCAATTGTAAACAAAATTGAATTAACAACCATCCCAATAGCATTTTACATGAAATGTTAGATTTGATTAAATGAAATCTTTTCAACCTTTCATCTTTCCATTACATTGCCTAAAGGTGATTAAAACCTAATAGTAGACTAATCATCACCAATTAACTCATCTAATTACGAACCCTGAGATTTATAGCCATTTGAGATTCATTGTTTTTTATAATTTGACTCTCAACTGTCCAAGGCTCGTGAAGGCTCAATTTTAAATTGTTACACATTGAACATGAATCTTTCAAGTTAATATAAATTGTGAATTCCCTCGTCAATTGTCAATACTCATTATTGGTATCAACATTTTGGCTTTAAATCTAAATGCATTTACATTTACAAGTAATGTTAGCTTTTGTTGGCTGATGTTGATAAATTGCAATAAATTGTGTACATTGTTTTGATAAACCCAAAACAACAATCTAAAACCAAACACAATCATGAAAAACATGAAAATGTAAAACAAAAAGTGTTCAACAGAAAGCTTTTCAAAGGGATTTCAAGTCTGAAAAAGCAGACTCAAATTATAATTTGTTATTTATAAATTATAATATTACACATTAATAATATTGATGATAACTATTTTGCAATTCAATTGATTTTTTCCTTCAAATTCAAGTTGAAAAAGGTTATATCAATAGGATGAAAGGTAATGTTTGTCAAACAAGTTGAGCTTAAAAAGCCATTCCGATGTACATTTCAATGTAAACTAAAAATGTAAACTCAAATGTAAATCTAAAAGCTAAACTAATAGAATCACAGCATTTTTTGATAAACACGCAATTATATTCAAAGTTACTGTGTTTATTGATAAATTCATTTAATCTAAAAGACTGAATTGTCAAAATTGGTTGAAATGGATGAAAAGATAAACAAAAGCAACATAAAACTAACCAATGACTTTAAAAGCCATTTTCCCAAAGAAAAATTTTTCAATTGTTTCTCATTATTGATAGAATCTAAAAAATCTTTTCCAAGCTCAATAGAGAGTCAGTTTCAAATGAACTAAATTGATCAACTAACCAATCAAAGCTCATACCTTAAGACATTAAATGATAATAGAGTTTCTGTTCAATGTTTCATTTTTCATCATATTTTCCGTGTTGAGTGAAAAAAGTAAAACAAGGTTTGGAATGAAGTAAAGTAGCCATTTTGGATGCTCCAAACTTTAACCAGCCTTGTAATGCTAACAAGTAACTGACAGGTAAACAAGTTATATCAATTGATGAGCTTGATGATGACTGAGATGTAAACCTCTGGAAAACTCTAGTTGATGCCTTATCAATGGCTGAAAAAGTTGCACCAACAGAATTTATTTTTAACCCAATTTTTAATTCAAACCTGGAAGACCAGAAATCTTGGATAAAAGCATTTACTTTTGTTTCCTAATTTTTAATAAAGAAAAATAAACAAAAGAATTTTTTGTTTCTTGAAACAATCTGTTAAATTGCCATGAAACTCAATAAATAATAATGAATCTCGAAAAATGCTCAACTAAAGACTTGAACAATTGTACAAACAAACCAACATTTATGCCAATCATGACTTATAGCTTTTCAACCAATACAATGGTTATCATCAGTGTTATTGTGTCTGAAATAATTCTTGAAATAAATCTCAGATCAGATTATATTTCATTTCTCACTCCATCGCTTTTAAAATTTATACTGAAATAACCAAAATAACCAGAAAAATTGGCTGAAAAACCCTTTAAAAGAAAATAACATTTCTCTCTAAAAACTGGTTTCGATTGCAATTCTGATAAAAACAAATACATTTTTCGTTGAAATATTAAATAACTGAGACAAAATCACTAGTGAAATGAACTGTTGGATTGAAAAATTGAGTCTAACTTGTAACATTTGAAGATGAAAATGATAAATTCAATGAAAGCCTGGATATAAACATTCATGGTTTAAACAGATAGCAATGAAACAAAATGACAAAATGTTTTCTTCATAAAAAAATCTCATTTTGTGTTGTAAACCAGAAACAGTTACCAGAAATAGTTACCAGAAAAATCAAAGAATAAAATTAGTTAAAATGTTTTATGACAAATCCATGTAAACAGCAAGGCAACAAACCAAAGCTTGTAATGTATTTACCTGAAAAGAAGAAGAAGAAAAGTATAAAACATTTTATGTTGTTGTTGTTGTTGTTGTTGTAATACCATTGAGAAACTGTAACCTTTTTCAGGTCATTATTTGAACATTCAATTGTTCAACATTACCATTATCATGATGAAGGTAAAAAAGTATAATAATCAGAATGCATTTGCTACCAGGTTCCATCCAGACAACTCAAGATCCATCATCTTGTCGACTGTTTACTTGATGCAAATTTATTCCTCACTCTTTCATCTTAATCACAAACACTGAATTTATCCATAACCGTCATCAGACTCATTAATCTTTCAATCTTGTTGACCATCAACAATCAACCAACCATTTGGTTCTGTCAACTGATCATCTTAAACCTGATCACATTAACCCAAGTTACTTTACCATCAGAAGGGAGTAAACATTATCATAATAATGCTGATAACCTATGCATTTATCATTCCCTTATATCCTTAGCTGAGTAAATCCTGAAATTCCCATTTTACTTTTCTCAATTGCACCAAACTGAATACTATTTTTCATCTGCAATAATCATTCCTCATCTCATTATAACTGAAAGAGAGAAACAAAAATGTTGCAACCTTTTCCTTATTTGCTTACAATTATTTACCTCTTTACCTTATTAAATAATCTCACCTTAATCATATTACCAGAAACAATAAACTAAATTAATAAACAAGTTAATATCTGTAATTGTTCAACATATTTACCTGTAAAAGCTGCATTCAAAAGCAATATTCAAGTCTATTATAAATTGTGATAAATGTTAACAACAGTAATTTTTTGTTGCTATCATTTATATTGTAGTTAACTGAATAGCTTTTCTTGATTACACTTTGATTGAAAAAATTTTCAAACAATTACATTAATTTACCTTTCAATTATTCATTATTTCAAAATAAGCATTAAACTTGAATGGAATGAGAATTTGATTTTTTATTTTTGCCAATTATTCAAATTGTTTTTCATTGTGATTCAATTACATTGGTTTTTGTGTTTTTAGTAAATTTTCTTATTTATCCTGAAGTTCAAGCTTGGAATCCCTGACAAGTCCTTTTGATTAACATTCAAATTAGAAAATGTTTTCCAATTTTTCCTGAATCCAGTTTCAATTTTCATTTGCAATTTAGTTTTCATGAATTTTGTGGTGAAAATATTTTCCAATTGTTTTTCCTCCTTCTCCATGGAAATGAATGTAGAGGAAAAACTGTTGAAATTTTGTTCAATCGTCTGAAGCATGAAAATAACCCTCTGGGAATTGAATGAGATCATGTTTTCACTTCGATATATTATTGAAATTTGATTATCTGTAAGTCACAGAACGATAGTTCTTGAATATTTTAACTGCTGAGAAAGATTCCAAATATTGATATGAATAAGATATTTGACCGAAAACCAGAAACGATTGTTATTACAATTCAATTTTCCACTTTACTTCAGTTTCGTGACGAGAATTTTGATTTTTTTTCATTATATTTTAACTTGGTTTTGGCCTAAAATTTCGACTCATTATCAATCGATAACAAAATGTTGATCAAATTACCTGGAGTTTCATATTTACTTGTATTTCAATCTCGAAAACAAAACACTCTTTTCATATCAATTTGAGGTTGAAATTGGCACCATTATTAGATGAAAGGTTTGGTGAATGAAATGCTCTTTGGTTGAGTTGGAACAATTTAACTGAAATTGTTAACATTTTGATAAGAAGCAAAGTAATGTGTTTAATAACTGTTATTATTCATATTCAAGTTGCTATTCAATTGGGTTCGTTACATGATCCGATTAAAATTATAATTGCAAATAATGCAATTGAAATGAATCTTATTAAGTTTAATAAATGATTACAGAGAGACACTTGAACTGTTCATTGCTCAATTAATGATAACTTAAGTGTTTATTAATATTTGATTTTATTGATTAATGGAATTAAAAGACTAATCATTTTATAAAGTAAAATAATTCAGTTACAATGAAGTGTATAAAATTATTGCATTATTTTTCCACATTGTAAGTTATTTGATTACTGTTATTAATTAATTAATCAGCTTATTAATGATGGTTTTGTGTTCAGTTATATTCAAGTCAAGTCTGACAAAAGCAGTTTTTGTTATAATAAATCTTTTAATATCGGAATTTCTGCTGAATCTTTGGTTGATTTCATATATTGATATCAATAAAAGTGTTACAAGGTAAAGAGTCGAGAAGAGATTCAAATCTTAAAGATACATCATTCGTCACTTCTATGTGTTTTAGATGCAGCATTTGTCACACTTGCTGGTTGACATCTTGCTCTATCCGAGCCCCCAAATCACGACCAGAGACATCTAATGAAACCTAAGTCTTAGTTTTACCTCGAAATTTGACGATAACGTCAGCACCAGTACCGTATCGATGTAGAACTTGTACAGAATTTGAGATTCCGGTTATTTTCCTTCTTTTGCTTTCAGATATTGGAAATGCTCGACCCTGGAGACTGAGGTTGAGTGTGCCCTTTACTTGATCCTTAAACAGTACTTTACTAAATTCTTGGATTGAAACTACTTTTTGTTTGGTGATTCCTGAGGCGTGAAAAATTCAATTGCTCATAACAATCTTTATAATCCCAATTCGCTAATAGATCATCAAGGATTTGTCGTTCTTGATCGATCCTTAAAATACTAGAAAACCATTTCTGTCCGTCATTCACCACAGTTCTGTGGACATCTTAAGTAATTAACAAGTCTGTATTGTAAATGTTGTATTCATATTATCTGAATCATATGGACGAAGCATAGGAACAAGGGATTGAATAGAGGAATTAAGGGGCGATTAGTTAATCTTATAACAAATGTAACTTTATACATTAATACCTTGCAAATATGTGCAAGCAAATTGGCAAAGGATGGGAAATGAAAAGATTGATGAGTTGTGATGCATTGAAACAGAAGACAATCTTTAGTTGGATTAACATGATGAGATAATGAGAATTGAAAGATGGACAGATTATTACTCGATGAGACAAGACAATATCATATTTGTTATTATTAAATATTTTCAATTCAACCTGGCCAATTGTTTTATAATCAATTGAAAAATTGGACAAAAACAACAAAAAATATCGCAACTGGAAACAAAACAAATTGGATTTACCAAGTTAATCCGATTCATTTTATTTGATACTCTTTCCATTCAAATCCTTATTTAATAGCATTATGATCATTATAAAGTAATGATACAATAATAATTACTCATAATAATGATTCAACTTTGAATAAAACATTTTCATTATTTAACTTTAATCAATTTATCTTTTAATATGTAATTTAATAAAGTCATTGAAAGAAAAATGTTTCATTTTCTCAGCTTTCATGTCAATTTTGCTGTTTCAACTCTCAATTTCAGGATGAAAAGTCAAGTGTTCACCAAACAATCAAAATTTTCATTTAAAAACAATCTTTTCCTCTGATCATTAACATTTATGATCACATTTACGATGAAAATAGATACAATCCAATGGACCAGGCAAAAGATATTGAACAAGTTGTTACATACAATTACAATCCATGTCAATGGTGATTGAATCACCATGTAAATATTGTATTATTGCAATTTATTCATCATTTCACTGCTTTTGGGTTTCATCTGTTAATTTTTGTTTATTTTCACTGAGTTTCCTTGAAGGTTCAAGCAAAATCAAACCAGAATTGGCCACTTATTTTGTTTGATTAATATAAGATATTCATTGGTTGTCAATAATGAAATAATGCAAGGCAAATGTAATTGGAATCAGCTAAAGGCTAAATCATGATTAAACCTGTTAAGCATTTGATTTGTGTTGGATATTAGAGAAACAATTTCATTGAATGATTTGAATATTTTTAATTAACTGGTGACTTTAACCAGAAATTTTTTCCAAATCTTGTTTCCCATGAAGATAAGTGAAACATTCAGAGTAAATGATTGATGTAAAACACTGAACTCAATCCACAATCTTTTATCACAACCATAAGGCTTAAAGCACTGTAAAAAACACTTTACTTGAACAGCAATTTTAATCAAGTTAACGTCAAAATTAATTACACTTTATTGTGTTCATCATAATCACAATTAAAATGGTTCATCAATTGATGCCAACAAAAGGTTGAACAAAATTAGAAAAGCCTAAAAGCTTAAAGTGTTTCACCGGTAAAAATCATCTGATTATGATTACCTTTTTTTGCTTCTTCTTGTAATACAAGTTAATGAATATGAATGAATAAATTAATCAATTTCACTTTCACTAGCAATGAAACAATTGAAAGTTAATTATCTGACAAAATGGAAATGAACAAAAAGGCAGAAAATGTTGATTTTATTTTCCTTTTATCACATTGTGACTGAACCAGAACAGAAATGGGGATAATTTTACCCTGAAAATCAGCTAATTTGCTGGATAATTTAGTTTCTGTACAAAAAATAACAAAATTTAAGATAAATTTGTATCGTATTGAGAGTCTAACAAATCTTATGTTAAAATCTCGACTCTTCAAAAAAAGTGAAGAGTTGAGAAAAGCAATTTGGTTAACATCCAAGTACCAGTTTTTTGGTACTTTTAGTTCATTCTGTTCACAGTTTGACACACCATTTAATCAATTTATGTTTGAGATTTTAAATTAAAAAATAAACAATTTAATCGTAAAATTACAAGAAAAATAAGGTTGAAACTGAAAATCTCCAAGAAATAGCTTGAAAAATTGTCTTCACCATTTTATTATGCTCTGGTTAACCCAAATTTTGTTTGGTCAATCGAGATTAAACTCATCATCTTTTTTCATTTCATCGTTAACTTCAATCCATTTAATCTTACATAAAACATGATCTTTTAAATTTACCCAAAAATTACCCAAAATTCCGTGACTTTCCCTTCAAACACTTAAATCTTAAAGTGGCAAAACATTTACTTTAAACAATAATGTTTATATTCATCATCGTATTCATTTCACTCTTTACAGTTCAATTTTAAAAGTGAATCAACTCGTCAAATACAGTATCATTTCATGCTCATTTTTACCCTGAACTGACCAAAACATTGAAGTAAAATGACCAAAGTTGGAAAGACAAATCAAATGACTCTGACCAGACACAGAAATGTTTAAAAATAGAGAAAAATTGATTTAATTTATTTGGTATTATTTGGTATCAATACTTTCAATTGACTCTTTTTGCAGACTAAGTATTGAAAGTAAACCCAAATCGCATTGACGCTTGTTTTTGTCATTATTAATTCAATTCTCTGATAAAGTTTATTTTGTTTCATTTGCCAATCGATTTTTCTTGTTTCAAGCTCACAACTTTTCAGGTTTTTTTACCTTTACCCAAGTGAATAGTTCATCAGAATGAGTCTATCGATTGAGACTATTTTTTCTTGTTTCATTTCAGTTTCACTTTCACCTTTTGTTTACCTGAGAAGGCAAGATTTTAAAAATGATTCAGTAAATACAATCTTTTGTCCCATACATTGACTTGATAGTTGCCTTGTCTAATCAATCGCATTCAATTTCAATCATGCTTAGTTGGCTTATTTAAACAATTGTCAACACTTGAACTTTGTTAGCTTCTGTGATTATCATTTTCTTGGGGAATCAAAAGGTTGATTGAAAAGACAAAAATTAATGCAAATCAATTGTGTCTCTGAATTTAAATTACATTTCCCTTTACATTAGTTTACATTTTTGTAATTTCCAGTCAATCGGAATCAACATTAATAAGTTACATCCTTGCACTTGCTTTAACCTTTTTGTCCCACTTTGATTAATGATTATTTCACATTTCCTTGATTCATGGTATTACTCTGATTTGTCAATTGAATCTCTCATAAGATTAATTGTTTTTAATTCAACGAAATCAGTTTCAAGATAAATTATTGAATGGCTTAATGTAGTTGAAGAGCCATCTATTATCAGTGAAGGTACAAAAGCGTTTTGTTTATGTTCCTTGTTTTGGTAATTTTTAAATGTTGATTGTTTGCTTCTTGATTTATTACATTTGTGATTTATATTTTTGATTATTTATTTTATTTTATCTCTTTCATTTCAGAAGATTCTGGTGTTTCCATGGTTGTCAGGGATTGTGCATTGGACAGTGGATCGTTAACCACCGATACTGAATTGGTTCGGATGTCACATTGTGGTGCATTTTATTTTGATCACAGATATGTTAGTGGTTGTGTTCAAAGTTGCTTCGAGGATGCTTGTAACACTTCATACACAATTAACCTTCCTCTAATCACTTTTGTTGCATTAATTATGCACAATCTAATATTTTCAAAGCTTTTTCTTACAACTTTCATCAACTAAATGTAAAAATAAATTCATGTTGAAACAATTTACGTTTCATTTATTATTTAAACTTACCTTCATCATTGCGTAAAGCCAGATGTTTTATGAGAGATTATCAAACTGAAAGTTTAAGGAAACAGGGAACAGTCTTAATTGCAAAATAGCAATAAAATTGAAAAAAATTCAATCAATATAATTAACATAATGAGACAAGACTGGAAATTAAACAATAGAAGCGTCTGGCTAGAAATGTATGTTGTTTTCAGGTTCCAATTGTTTGGGGTATAATCAGCTCAGAATTATTAATCGCAATGCTAATTAGTTTGTTACAGTTGAATTAATCACCAGAACATAATTATCTTATTTTGAGTAAATAAATTGAAACATTAGACTAACAATTGCAAAGTCCGATGAGAAAAATCCAAGAAATTCTAGTTTCTAAAATAAAATTAAGATGGCGTTAGCTATACACGTCTGGAAAAAATCAATGTTTTTTTCAGCATTGAATACAAGCTGATTAATTGTTTTGGTGAATGTGTTTTTAAATTAATTCAGTCGCCTTAATTTTCTAACACCCTTAGTGTGATATATTTCCTATTTCTTACCAACTGCCTAACCTCTAGGATTGTAAATACAAGTATTTTTACACTTTCAGTTTGTATTAAAGGTCACTTTCTTTATATACAGAAACCAATTGGATTTATCGGCATCATTCTTTTTTTTCTCTGTTTAGTGTATGTATCTGTGTATGTTTAATCAACTCATTTATCACTACCAACTCTATCATCATCATCTGTATCATCGATTTCTACATCGTTCATCTGTCTTATTTCAACCATGAGTTCCATTCTAGATGCTTTCAATTCCCTACAAACGGAGTTCAATAGAGTCAGTAAAGATTTAAAATCGGTTGAAGACAATCTCAAAAAATTGACTGGCGGTCAATCAAGGTTTGTTTTATTTGCACAATCTTAACCCTTCTTGATATGTTTTAATTTTTCACATGCTAAACAAGCTTCTTCATTCATTCATACAGTAATCTAAAGAGGAATTTAAAAAGGAATGCTCCAGATAATGAAGCAGTTTTTTTGGAGGGCAATGTCGAGGAGCCACCGAAGCGAAATAAATTTATTGGTAAAGCTTTTAGCAGGTAAGAATTTCACGAAAAGTTGTTTTTTGATCTTTTTTATAATATTTGGTTGATATTTATTGGTGTTTTTTGTATTTACAGAGTCCATGGACCCAGTTGGCAACCTAGAGAACCATTAGGAGATAATGATGACAAAGAAGACCAACACCATAGACCTGTTCTGCTATCCCAAGTTGTTCCAGCTGTCAGAGAAGTAAAATCTAGAAATGAAGCACTCGAGGAACAACCACCAGATGAAAAGAGTAAAGCAAGAAATCGTAGAATGTTTGGTATAATTTTAGGTACCCTTCAAAAATTCCAGTCGGAAGAGTCTCAAAGGAAGCAAACGGTATTGATTCTGAAAATTTATTTGCATTCTGCATTTATTTGCATTTGAAACTTCATTTCATAGAAATACTTTTATGATATGTCCATTTCATGTTTTAAATGGAAGGGTTAGAGCTAAAGCAGCTTTTATTACCTGTCTTTACATTTTATTTTTCATTAATTGATGTAAAAAATTCAGATTTATATAATTTTTACTTTCTTTGTTTTTTTCAGACTAAAAGGAGGGCGGAAATTGAAGAAAAACTCGAGAAAATGGCTGAGAAAGAAAGAGATGTTATCAGGAAGGAGAAAAAAGAGCTTTACAAAAAAAGAAGGGAAAGTCAAGCTCACTTAAGACGAATTGAACTTAAAATGGAAAGAGTTCAAGTTGTGAGTATCTTACCTTGCCAATATGATTCATTTATGAATGATAATATTCAAAGAATAATTCTAATCATCTCTATCTTTTCCTTAGCATCAAGAATGGGAAAAGTCGCATAAAACTTTGGTCAATTTCATCCAAACAAAGACGAAACCACACTTATTTTATCTACCTAAAGAACATACTACCGAGAGCGAAAAAAGGTGGAAACAGACCAAAGATAAATATAGACGTAAGTATAAACTCATTAATGCCTATGAAAGCAACTTTTTACATTTTGTATTAATCAATTATTTTCTATTAAAGTAATCCTTGCCGAAAAACGTGCCAAAGTTCAAAAAGAGCTTTCAGAAATAGATGAAATGTACAAAAAAGAAACCGAAATGGATGATGACGATGACGATGAAACTAATAAATCAGTGGAAATGGACTCACAAGAAAATACAAATAATGATGCAATTGAATTAATGGAGGATTCGATAGATCAAGATAAAGTTTGTAATTCTAAAGTCAATGATAGTATAGAAAACAATCAAAAGAGTAACGTAAATGAAACTAATAATTCTAATGATAAAAGTGATCATGAAGTTGATAATAGTCAAAATGATGATAGTAACAATCATGTCACTAATGATAATAACAATAGTGACAAAATTGACAGTATTAATCATCACAACGATAATGCAAAAACTGTTATCGAGGGCTTGATGGAAACTCAGCTAGGTGATGCAGATAAATCTTCACCGGAACAACTTACCGAAAAAGAGTTCGAGCCCATTTATGATGATGATGAATAGAATGGAATAATATTTATCTATCATCTTTTTTATTACAGGTACATGTCAACTCATCAGTTCACGTTAAATTAACATTTCTTCATCCACCAATAAATTACAGACAACAAAAATGTGTTCAATCTCAATGATTCACACAAGTTTTGTATGAAGCACATTTAAAGCTTCCAATAATTTTATTGACAGATTCCTGTCAATCCACTTAAATTAAATTTTGTTCAATCGAACAATACTGGAAAATACAAATCAAGATGTTTAAGGCCTTGTGTCAAACTGGTGTTGAGGTTTAATCTTGAGAATTTTCTCCTCCACATCTTGGTCTCTCAAGAATGGGTTTGTGTGATTTAGTACACGTCTCACTGTTTAAGATATTATGTTGGCAATTGACTTCAATATCTAGAGAATGTTTAATATCTTCAATCATCGAGCGAATCATTGAACATTTTATCATTTGTCGAGTCCAGAGACCTTGTAAGTGTTTGATTAAATCTAGGATAAGTGTCGAGCTATAATGCCATTCACCAATATCATCTGGATTCCAATCTGTGTTGAATAAAACTAATGGTAATTCAGAGGCTAACATATATTGAGGTTTACTGGTAACATTATTGACATCCAATAATTTTTTAACTATATCAGGATCTTCTTTTCCCTCTCCAACAAGAAATAAAATGGTCATAATACATCGAATTTGATGCCAGAGAAAACCGCTCGCAGCAATTTGAGCAATATAGATCGAATAAGACGAATCGGCAGTTTCTTTTACTTGATTGAATGAGAATATATCAACCTTTTGGATTGTTCGGATGTTGTTGATTTCCTTTCTACTTGTGTCTTTTTTACAAAAATTGGTGAAATCGTGAGTTCCTAGAAGATATTGGGCTGCTTCTTTCATTTTATCAATTTTCAAGTTAGAGGCAGGAAAATAGTAATAATAACATCGACCTTTACAATCAAAACGAGCACTGAAATCAGCTCTAACTGGTGCCCATGATAAACAGCGTATTTCATCAGGCAAAACCTTGTTTAAAATTCCACAATAATCGATCTCTTGTGGTTCATCATCCTTAATCTCGCTATCATCTACACATTTCTCATCGAGACTAGATACACCTAGTCCACTTTTGAGTTTACTGCGAACGTCAATTGATATAACTTGACTGAATGCGGATACACCTTTATCTGTTCGTCCACATCTATGATAATTTGACGAGCTACGATCCTCGATAAGTTTAGTTCTTAATAATGCTTGAAACACATGGTCTTCTATTGTATTATTTGTGTCCTCTTGAACAACATAGCCTTGATAGTCCCATCCGAGGTAAAGAAATTTCAAAGCAATATGGCGCTTGGAGTAACGGGTGAAGTCAAATTCTCTAGATTTGTGCACTTTTCCAGATTTTTCACTAGAATCTGGGTCCAATTGTCGCTTTTTGATGATACTACGCAATTGACGAACATTTGCCTCCAACTTGTTAATCCGACTTATCAGTTCCTGAACAAAAAAACCAATTAATGTCTGGTTCCTTAAACTTTGAAAATTAACCAAGTTCTTACCTGTTTAGACAGACTCTCCAGGTCACTTGCAGACAGATCAATCTGAGACATTTCCGAGTTGACAATTTACCAGTTTGTAAGAAAGGGGATTTTAGCTGGACATTTGGTAGATCACTATTTAGCTTATGAGAATCTAAAACTAATCCAGTTCAAATAGTTGATGAATAAAGGTTATCACGTAAGAGTTTATAAAAATTATCAAAACTAGATAAAATTTAACATTATTTAACGATATTGAAAGTAAAAATTATGGTTAATTAGTAAAAAATGATGTTTAATAGCAAAATAACACATAACATACAACTTATAACAATTAACAAATGAAAAACTAAATTTTAAAAAACATCCGAGCTTGCTTAGCGAACTCATGTGTTAGTTTACAGGTGATCATCGTCATAGCAACAGTAAACAGCAATTTCGCTCAACTTATGTAACTTTTGGAAGAAAGTAAATTATAAATTTCGTTCATTTCACTTAACTATTTGAAAATTCAGTGATTAACAGTTCCACTTAAAGTCTAGTAATTGAGTAAAATAGTATCACAGTATTAATAAAAGTGTATTGATTACCTTTCGTTTCAGCTTAAGGAGCTTTCGGAAAGCCGAAGTGGTTCTTTTGCTTCTCAAATGGTTTGGTTTATTGTTCACTGGCAAATTATTTTTAACCATATATTGATCAGCCAGAGTTGAAAAGGAATCAGTAAAGTTCAATGGGAAGCACAACTCTCTGCTTCCATCGTGCTTTTGAACCAGATAAACATTAAACATTTCATTTGATTGTTCAGTGTTGTTACCAATGGTTGCTTCAGGACTCTCCAGTAAACCTTCAATTGATGGATTTTCAGTTGCTGATTCAGTGGTGAATTCAGTGGTTAATTCAGGGGCGAAGTCAGTTTCGAATTCAGTTCCAAGAGAAACTTCAACCATCAAGAAAATGAAGAAACACCAAGAAATCTTGTCCTGAACAGAAAAACAACATTAACAAAACACTTGGCCATAATTAAAGCAACTTACCATTATGACAATCTCAATGATGAATTTTATATCGATGTGGCTTACAGTAAAAGCTGATCAATTGAATGAAGCTGCTTATATACATTCAAAATGAGCATTTTAGTGATTAACTTGTCCACTCAACTCTTATTTCATGGTTTATAATGGACATTTTGTTTAGCTGTAAAAAAAAGGATATCGACCAATAACCAAATCACTGAAACTATGAAATTGGTTGTTCATCTATTTCAAGAATCAGAAACTAAGATATCAGTTAGGTTGACCGTTGATTGGTTATCACCCAAAGCAAATCAATTTGTCATCAGGTCATACTTCAATCAGATTGAAAATTATGCTGATTCAACCAGAATGTGTTGACTTCCAACTATAAATATTATCAGCTCTGAAATGAATCACAGATTACAATTTGGATTAACATAGAGGATTAGTGAGAAAACTGATTCTATTTCAAGATGATTTGCTGATCAATCTGAGAGAAACAACTGTCGGTCCAACAAATGAATGCGACGTTTCAATCAAACGATGACGGTTAAATAAGAAATATTAATCACAGTCAAGTGTTGGATTAATGATGATAAAATCAAAAATGAATAAAATGTGGGATTAAAAAGGTTTAGCTCTACGACTAGACTCTGTTATGGCAACACTTTGTAATTAATCGCATGGTGAAGCATTTTCCAACTGAATTCACTCAGCTAACTCGAGACTGGAATTTAGAAATTAATATTCAATTCAAAGTGCAACTTTCATGTGAATAATTGCGTAAATAATAACAAGACATGAAATGAAAGGAGAATAAATTTTATCCAACCTCCAAATGAACCACTTTTAACCAGGGAAATCCTCACTAACTTAACCTTACATGCTAATTGTCAATAATTATTAACATTAATTACCATTGGTAAATCATTGATTGAATGAAAATTATTGACTTTCGTTTCCAATAAACAGCAACAATGCAAAACTAACATTGAAAGGTTAATTTTGGAGGATAGTTTTGATGTTTGAAGTTCAATGTAAATGAGCCAAAGGATCCTCATTACTTTAATGAAGAGGCACAATTAAAGGTCGAATTATCAATATTCAAGTTATTTTTAGATGATGACTTGAAAAGCGTAGGCTTGAAAATGCCTAACAAAAGATGGGATTTCAAGACTAACTGCTCAACAATGTTTTTCCAGAGCTTGGACCATATTTGAGACAATTCATATTTCTCGTTTTATTCAATGATTAACGTGATTAGTGAAATTGATTGTTGCATTTAAGCGTGGAAAGGTCTCTTAACAACGACATAATCACCTTGATGGCTTTAATTGACAAGTTATCGTTTATTTGGTTTACTCATAAGGAATTAAGGTAAAAGAGGAAGAAAAGGGAAAGAGTAAGAAATGATGAGAGAAATAGAGGGATAGGGGGAAGAGAAATGATAATTTAAGAGACTATCCAGCGCAATTAATTATTATATTATGATTATATAGTTAACAATCAAACAATATCAGTAGCTAGTGGGAGAAGCAAACAAACAGCCTGAGATGAAATCTAAGTGTAAAAATGGTAAAAGATGAGTGAGAGGAAAATCAAATAAGATGATTAGCGTAGCGTTTGATCAACATTGATCACAATCAGTGAACAATTAGTGATGCCTCTTACTAATGATACAGAAAGCTAACTGAATTATATTTGTCATTTGGTTGAGTTTGAAATGTAAAAAACACAAAAATATCAGTTAACCAGTGAAACAAACAACGAGTTTAACCTTCAAGCTTAGCAAAGCTTCCAAAAAATCTATCATTAACTGGACCATATTAATCGATATTGTTTCTTGTGCCACTCTTCACTTGATTGTTTATTTGTGTTTGATTGATTATTTCAATTAGTTTGCTCATGTTTAACTATCACCAAATTATTCAACATGGTTCAGTTAGAGGATCATCAAAGTGTACAGATTAACCGAGGATTGGAGCAAAGTCAACCTAGTAACTTACATGGACAAAAGCCAACATCAATTGGATCACAGTCCTCGATACCTCGAGTCAAGGCCAGGTCGAAATGGAGACCCGAATTACCTGAGATAAATTGGCAAGATTGTTTTTGTATTTGTTTCTTCGTCTATTTACTTTGCAGTGAAACTGAATCTGAAAAGAAGCGTAAAGAAGCCAAAAAAAGGGAAAAAGAAACATTGAAAAGTAAGAAGGAGATGGCAAAGAAACGGGATAAAGAGAAGAAAAAGAGGATCAAAGAGATGATAAAGGAGACTGAAAGAGAAACTGATGATGATAAGATGAAAAGTAAATCGGTTTGTAAAGTGATCAAGGATGGTCAAGTTATAAATAAAGATTTACTGGTGAAAAGGCGGCAAGTGAAAACTGTGACTCCTCGATCAGTTGAACAACCTGAAAACTCAAATAAAAGTATCAACAATCTTGATTCTGATTTGGTTAATAGTTCAACTAAACGACCATATGGCTGTATAATTGCTTGGAATGATTTTAATTAACTTCATTTTTTAAATATAACGTTTCACAGTGTAACACTAATTTTGGGTTAAAATATAAATAATTACATTTTTTACTGTTTTTTGAAGATTTACTTTTTCCTTCAAATATTTCACTGTTTCAGATAAATTCACTCTTATATTTTGTTAATCATTACTATTGATTAAAAGCAGTTTTTTCAGAAATTAATAAAACAGTTTAGTCCTGAAGAGAGTCATTTTAGACATGAAGTTAACTTAAGCCAGAGTTTCTTTGGCACCAGTGGTTTGAATTTAATAAAATCATCAGATTATCAGCGTTTCTTGTCTTCAATAAAATTAGATTCATTAAAGTAATAAAATCATGACTATCTGAATAATATATTACACATGAAATAGTAAAAATATTAGGCTTGTAAGCTCTTCAATGAAAGTCTTCAAGTCTGTGTGAGTTGCTTATGATTACTATATGATTCAAGGTAGTGTAATGTTTTATGAATTAATGATCAGTTAATCATTATGACCTTTATTCACATTTATCATTGCAATTATCATTCTTAATCTAGAACAATTATATCATTGACGAAACTCCGAATCAGATTGGGAAGAGTGTTATTATAAGGGTGATCATAATGATCTAGTAAATTGTTGTGATTAGAGGGAAAAAATGTTTGAAAAAATTTCAAAAGGTTTCCATGATTGATGATTGTTTAATGAACATTATTATTATTATTATTATTTTGCTTCTAACGAATTGAACTTGTTATATTTTGTGTCTTCGCAAATTTTTTATGTACAAAAGCGAGAAAAATACAAGCACGAACAAAAATATTTTTAAACTCTGAGATCAAAATGTTATAACATTTATAGAGAAGAGGAGAAAGAGAGCTCGCCAGCAATGATGTTTACATGTGTTGATAGATACTTTACAATTGAAAGGTTTGATAGAGGTTCCGATTGTATATTCGTTTATGATCCTTGATTTTTGCGTGTGTGTGCGGCTAAACGTTTAAGTGTTGTCAATGATTTAGTTGATGATGATGCGAAATGATGAACTATGAATAAAATCCAGATTTACTTATTATCACACTTCCAGAAAGATTGCTCGCACTTGTTGAATCAAGACATTGGTGATGGAGTTGAGTTTTTACGTTTCCAAAAATAATGTAAAATTAAATTACCAGATTATTTTATTTGCTTTTGCTGTTCCATTTCGTAAAGGACATTGAATCACTAGACAGATTAGGTAAATCTTCTGGTATCTATATATATTCGCTTTCTTGAAAACTTGACGGCTTCTTGATTAGATAAATGAGGAAAACGTCCAGATGATGGAGATGACGGTTTGATTGTTAATGAGACATGTAGAAGGTCTACAGTTGGCTTCTTCGTTTTGAAAATTCATCGCTTATTGTATATTTTTTATAATTTAGCGCTTCCAGGTATGATTTTGGTGCCATCCACAGAAGGGAAATGAGGGTTTTGGTCAATGAGTGAATAGTTTTCTACATCTCTTGAGTTATTTGACAACAGCAAAAGTAAAATAGAGTCAAAAACATAGATGATCTTTATATTTGTAATATCAGCTAATATTGAATGTGTTAAACCATTAATCCAACGCATCATAACATTCATGAGGCGATGCATCCCACAATATACAACTAACTTTGTTTGTGTGGAATTTTTATATATAATATTTATATATATATTTGTATGGGTAAATAGAGAGTTAAATTTTAGTCTATTTTGCACAATGAATAGATGAGAGAAAGATAAAGGGAAAGGGAAAGTTTTTGGTTTCACAAAAAATCTAAGATGGAGATATTGAAACCAAGTAATTTAATTTGCAGGGCATCAGGAAAGTTTGAGTTAAGATAGATGGTTTAGTAGAGTTGATTTTGAAAAAAATCACAAAATCACATGAGAAATGCACTTCGGGTAAGCTTTTCACCACATGCTTGTTCCCATTCTCATTTTATCTTTTACTATGAAACATCTATTTATAAAGATTAGAACTTTCTTTTAACATTTTGTCGACTATGAAATCAGAAAAAATTAACCGTTCCTCCAATTTCAATTTCCGAGCTTTCTTCTAAACCATCGAGATGACCAAACACTTTCCATCTACAATAGATGAGAAAAAGATTAATAATAACAAAGAAATAATAAGAAACAAGAAATTGTCAAAATGAATAATGATACTTACTTGTCTACTTGATAAAGGGTAAGATCAACCAATTGTTTGACATGGAATGGCATTTGAGTATCGTTCAGTAAACCCCGTAATGTCTCAACGCCTCCATCATCAATCAGTAATTGACAATATTTAGAACCTGAAATGAAGATTAAAAGAGGATTGAATGACGAGATATATTATAAATGAAACTTTAACCAGAAAAACACAGCCATGAAAATGGAAACAAATTTTGAATGAAATAGCTAACACATGACTTACTATCAATTGTCAGTATCCAGCTATTGTTAATTTGCATGCATTTAAATTAAATAGTGTCAAATCTAATTTAACATAAAAGAACAGGATACCGAAATCAAGGAGTTTATTTTCATGGTTGATGTAAATCAAAATTGATACTTACAATATACCCTTGTAAGATTAGCTAAGGCCCAAACAGCCCAGTATTGCGCTTCATAAACCGGGTTTTTAGATTTTAATAAACGTAAAATAGGTTCGAAAGATCTGAAAATAAATTTAGAATAAAAAAATTAGTAAGACTGATAGAAAATAAATATTTAAATATCAGCTAAAAACTAACCTGTAATTGATATTTCGTTTAGAATTGATTGTCCAACGGCCAATGGCAGTTTTCATTCTAAATAAAACATTATCACGATCGACAGAGCCAAGAAATTGATTCCATACCTCAGGCCCATCCGAAACTATAATAAAGGAGAAATAATATTTAATATAATTTATAATACATATATGGCTACATATAATGGCTATTATTTCAGAAATATTCTTACCAATATGAGAAAGTATTCCAGCAGCATTGTAGCTGACCTCAATACCATCACTTTCACTCCATAGAAGTTCACTGAATCTTACAATGTACTCGGGCCTCATTAATCGGGGTCGGAGATCTTCACATTCAGCAACATTTCCTAGAAGACCCATCATGTTACGAAGTAATTCTAAATAAAATAAACAAAACAGAAAAAAATGAGGTTATTATTCTTGTTTATTGAATGAGATTTTGTAGCTCTTACCTGGTGGTTCTGGAAAAGTACTCATACATTTCACAAAAAGGTCCATTCCATGATTATCCAAAAATCGTTGGCAATTAATTGGATTCTCATCTTTGGATAGAATGAAAACAAAAAAGTTAGAAATTCAGTTTTTCCAATCATTAAAGTCTGATTTCAATAAAAAATCAGTAAGACAAAGTACCTGTCACGTTCCACATTGTACTCCAGGCAATCTCCATTACTTCATCACAGACACGACGACTTAATCGAGCTTCGATTAAAGTAATTAACTTATCAATTGCCCCTAGATCGCCAACCAGTGTCTTCTGTTCCCCATCCACATGACAAGCCAAAGAATTTAAAAGATAGATTCCTAATGTAATAAAGATAAATGATTAGCATACAAAATAATGATTCTAAAAATGTCAATATATACCTAATCTCTGGATAAAATCATCGTCATCGTTCATAACAATTAAAAGTAAAATTTCTACCATGCGTGTGTACTCGAATAACTGTGACAAAGAAGAAAAATTTGTAAGCATTAATTTGTAATGAGAAACCACCTAAATCATCATATGATGAAATAGTATGCAATCATAGATTCAAGCACAGTATGCTTTCCCTTTAAATGGTCATCAATGAATAAGTAATTTTATTATCCATTGTATTGGTATTGAAGGGAAATCGTGCGACTACTTCAAGGTCAGTTATCTTCATGAGAAAGTTTTGAAAACTTACAACATCTTGAGGTAACTTAAAATGAATTAAAGTGAGGCTTCCATTTCTGAGCATCTACAGGGTTGAAAGAAATTGAAAAATAAAAAAGGATTAGAATGGTAAGATTAAATTACATTAAATTGAGATAAAATTATGGAGCAAAAAATGGAAAACATACCACATTATCATGTTTGTAACGTTGCATTGCATCTAATAATCTAGTTACAATTGGCCTACAAAAAAACAGAAACAGGAAAAAAACAGTAATTAATTGTCATTGTTTGAAAAACAGCAGCTACACAATAATCGTGTTAAATTACCTTTTAACTTGAGGGCTATAATTTTTAGCTTCATCTGACTTAACAATATAAAACAGGGAGGCTGATGCAGCGATTTGTATTTGCTTTTCATTTAAATGCCTTGCCATTGCCGTTAAAACAACATTCAATGACCTGTTGATAGCATGGAATTCACTCTGTATGAAAATAAGCAAGAAAAAAATAAGTTAATCATATGATGAATTGGATAAAACATTTAAAATTGTTAACAAGGCACAATATCTTATGATAACAATCAATTCACTCTTTCAATTCATTAGATATTTATTTGCACCCAAGGCTGTCTCAACAACAGAAATGAAAGTTAACTTGATCATCAAAAGCAGCTTTATGAATATTTGCATCTTGATAAATTAAAAATGCATGTGTGTTTTTTTGTGTTAATCATTAATTTTTACGATCTTATAAGTTATAAATAGCTTATAAACAAGCTCTCCTCAAAATATAAAGACACCCATATATTTGTGCAGGCTGAAATGATGAAGGAGACTTGATCAATCAACAATATTTAAACAAATATTTTCCTGAAACAAAAGATCGACTGTAAACAAGACACATATTGTGCACATAAAGAATAAGATTAAAAAATTTTTCAACCAAAAAAAGATGCTACACATGATGAGGAGATTGAAAAAGATAAGGAAAAAGAGTAAAGTAACTGAAAAAGTATAGAAAGGGTTTCTTTTTGTAATCCATATACATGGGATATATACTTGGAATTAGGAAACTTTCCAACATTTACAACTCAAAGTTACCGAAAAATAAACAGGAAGAAAAAGTTGAGAAAGTGATGAAAGTGTGTTAAGCTGTTGTTTAAAAGAATTGAAAATATTTGTTTGAGGTTAAAGCTGACATTCCTGACGAATCACTAAAGATTGATGAAACTACGAATAAAATAATTTGACCATTTTCATCATTTGTTAGGAAAAGTAAAAGATAAAAATGACTTCTCGCGTTTACATAACAGTTTTTGTGACATAATCTAAGGAGTAATTTAATAACTTCCTTGTTTATCTTTGACGTTGAAAGAGGAGAGCAAATGAGAAGCGAAATAAGGAAAAGTCAAGAGAAATACTGTGCCTTGTTTTAAGAGTGAAATGTTCAATTTTTGAACCATGAAGGTGTTGTTTGCTGCTGTTTTGTCGACTTTCCTTACCTCTATTCGGAAACAATGGAAAAGATCATTCAACGCTTTTCTTAATGGTTCGATTCTGTCCATATAGACTTCACAAGCAGTTAGAATTTGATCTTCTGTTGATTCACCAGCAACTTTAACGGCAGGTATCCTGGCTCTAAAGGATGCATCACATTGAGTATTGTAAAGTCCTAAAAATTCGAACGGCCTATCATATCGACTACTAAGTCCAATTATGGTATCAGCTCCTGCATCAACGAAAGAAAATAAATATAAATAAATTGAATATGATTTGAATGGAGATAAATGTTGCTAAGGGTGTTTTGGGATAAAAACAGTTGTTGGTGTTTATAACTATACTTACGCTCGCCAGCTAAATTAGTGCCAGATATATCAAGATGGGTGAGATTAGGTAATGCTGTAACCAGTTCAGCTAGTTGTGCGTCTGGAGATTTGAAACAATGTCCATGGCGTTCATTAGAAGATGAGATATCTAACGATCTAGATAAAGAAAACATAATTTATGAGAGATAATATAGAAATTGATAGCAATGCTTTTGATCAGTTTTGTATTATAAATAAATAAACGATCTTTTTTCATAAAAGTAAACTCGAGATAAGATTGCAAGATTATGATGACAAGTGTAATCCTGACTCAATTTATAACCTTGCCTCAATCTTAACGGTAAGTTAACTTTTTTTTCGGATTGAAATAGTGCATTCAAAACTGACCTTAAAGTTTTAAGCTGAGCAATTTTCCTGAGAGCAGCCGGTGAGAGAGGACAGTTATACAGAATCAAAACTTTAAGATTTTTTAATGAGGTGAAAGCTTGTCCATCCCCAATTGAGTTACAATTGCTTAAATCCAGGTAAGTTAAAGTTTCGTTCATCATAGGGGTTATCAGAGTATCCAGGTAGCGTTGATTTCCAGATGGATTTACTTCATGTATTACCAAGGTTTGCAAAGGAAGATAAGGATTGAGGAGATGTTGTTTCTATTGGAAGGATTAAGGGTGAGAGACAGAAGAAGCATTTTAATGAGATTGCATGGAGCCCAATAAAGGAAAAAGTAAAACTTTACTGAACAACAATTGTTTACTATAAACATGATTGAGAAACTGTTGGGTCAAGGCTAAAATTTACTAGGAACACAAATATATATCATGACCTAGAACTTGCAGCATTAATATAGAGCTACGATCGATAGAAACCCTAAACCAAGAACTGCAGCCATGGTGATGATCATTACGACCTTGATAATGTTGGAATTTGCAAAGGTAAGGAAAATCAAATGAATGGAATGAAACATAGGAAAGGAGTGAGAGTCAAGAGAATGTGCTGTAGATTGAGGTGAGCATTTGAGACCTTGACCGAATGAAAATCAATAATGCGAGACACACAAAACATGGGAGTATATCAATCTTGAGCACATAGATTTACCTACTTTTATAGCTTCGAAGTACTAAATATATATATTTTAGTTTATTTCATTGAGAGTATAAAAAATTGCTTATAACGGTAATTCATCTGAGGGATTCAAGGTTGAATAGTAACCATCTGATTCGTAAAACATCAATAAATATAAGATACAAATTGTTTAATTTTTTATGCTATAAAACGGCCCGTTTGATAATGACAAAGTAAAATAATGAATTGATAGAGAATGACTGAGTGTTCATTATAAATCAACATTAAAAATATAAAGAACAGAAAAAGTGAACTGAAAGTGAAAATTATTTATAACATTTATATAAAAAAAAGGTTTCAATCAGTATCAATCACTGTCTAGAGTGTCAAACTTTATACTATTATTTAAACTAAATAGTTAATGAGATGTAAATAAGCATTAATTATTTCGACTGATAATTGTCTCTAACTTGAATTTAGTTGAGACAAAAAGAGGAAATGTTTTTCTTTGGGTTAAAATGAAGACACTAGGTCAAGGTCTTAAAATAAAGAATTTCACCAATCTGGTTCTTCTAACTATGACAATTACTGAATCTAGCAAAGATGAGCTCACAAAGAATTTAGAAAATAATTTACATGGGATGTAATAGCAAACTCCTACGTATATTCTCTCGATACACTGAGAAATGGCTAAGGATGCAATTAATTAGGAACGAAAAGATTAGCTGCAATAGTATATTTTCCCTGAGTACACAACAGTAGGAAAAATCTAGAAAAAAATGTTCTTATTAGAGGTGAAATAAAAAGCATATGTTTACCTTCTCGGCGATGGTGACAAGGTCAGGTTCCGAGTCTGGAAATATTTGATTACATTTACCAATGATTAAGGTTTCTAATGGAGATTTACACCAGGCTTTGTAGTCAAGGTAACGAACAATGTCCTGTCCATCTTTGTCGCTTCTGACATGATCTCTAATTATATCTGAGTCTTCGAAGACGGGACTATCATAGCCTGAGACGAGAGGTTCAGTAGCTGATTTACCTAGAGGTCTAACCAGGCATTCCATCAGGTCAGATTTTTCGAAAGATGATGGTGATGACGATGAGAATAAATTACCATTTGGTAGGGTTGATGTTGTGGTTGATGTCGTTGCATATTTTCTGATCAATGATCGACCATCAGCCATTTTTGAAAGTTTACGTCGTAGAGTGTCAAATCCATATTCAAACACACCCATTTCATCAAAAATGGTGATGAAATTGTTCTTAACTCCAACATAGGTTGCTTCGCACATACCAAGGTTAGATGTTATCACTCCTTTTTCATATCTTTTATCAAGTAAGATGTTATGAGTATCTTTATTCCTTTGTTCAAACACACGGACGGTGACTACTAATTTGTCCAAATTATTAGAGTTTATTCGGGTAGGAAGATATCGAATATAGAGTAGAGCCGAGTCAGACAATTCTCGACAATTGTCAATATCCAAATACTTTAGGGTATTTGTATGCTCCGATAAAATGTAGTATAAATCTTGATCGGTGATCGGAAGATCAGCCAAACGGGCTTCACTAATAGGTGAGGTTTCAGCCTTGAATTGAGATATAAATCTGCTAACACGCTCCGTGTCAACCGTGTTGGCATTTTGGTGACGGAAAGCCTGGTTAAATAAAAAAAATGAAATACAAATGATAAATATAGTTATAGTATGATAAAAAATCATATGAGTAGAGATAAGGTTAAAAGGAAAATAAGCGAACAAAGGAGTGCATATTCAAAAATCGCCTGAATTGGGTCTCAATGTCACGGCAAGGGATTATTTATGATCCCGGTTTCACTGAAAAACTGGAAAAATTTTAGATTTTCCTACGAAACCTTGTTTTGAAAAAAACAAATAATACTTACTTCAAGGAGGTTGTTACAGATCTCTTGAGGAAGGCAAACGTTTTTAAAGGGAATATCATTAGAGACTATGTGTTTGAGGCAAATCATCCATAATGACTCTGGTACATTGTTGGTGTGTCCGAATAACTGGCCTGACATTGGTCTCCGAAGTCTAAACACCATAAAAGATTGAAGATAATGAAGAATAGGTGAGTGTAGGAAAGGAAACAAGTTTAGAGTTGAAAATAGATACAGGAATAAATATTAGTTTAGTTGATAACGAAGATCCAGAATCAATCAACAAGTTGAATAATCATTGAAGAAATCATCAGAATCGAGGAAAACATTTTAGATAATGAAAAGAGAGTGAGAGAAAGAAGGAGGAGAATAAAAAAAGATGAGAAGAGAAAATTGAGTCAACTGATGTTTTGTATATATAGCTGAGAGAAAAGAGAAAGAGGGTCGTAAATAAATGTTAAAAGGCTTACGCTTACATCATAATAGAGATGAATTAGTACAATGTTGAGTTATGAACTGATCACAATTGTATCAGATATAATGATGATTAGCTAAAATATAAGTCAAATTAATTATTTTTTTATATAATTTACACTTTGAGGAGAAAATAAAGTCGATCACAAAATTAAACCATTAATAAAGAAATAAAATATGTTCAAGCTTCAAGCTTCTACAGAGTGATAGAAGCTTTAGTATACAAAAACAACAGTTTCATGCGCCATCATGTGGTTACTTAACTAACTACATCATTGTTTGCGGAATTGCGTTTTAAATGAATGAAATTGTATCAATTTGAAAGCTTCCATGTAACATGACAAACAGTTAACAATAAAATCACATAATGATGCAATAGCTTTATTATTTATAATTGATTACAGGCGATGAAGTTAATCTTTAGCGGTTGGTTTAAAAAAATTAGTAATTGAAACTTGACCTTTCTTGGCTGCAGCTGCTTTGGACAATTTTTTAGGTTTAGGCTTGGATTCCTCATCTTCGGTGTCCATTTCAGCTTTTTTCTTCCTATCAACAGATTTCTCCGATTTTTCAGATTTTTCAGATTTTTCAGATTTAACTTTTGTGGATTTGTTTGCATTCACATTTTCTTCGTCATCGTCATTTTTAACAGGAACAAGTTTCTTGACAAGCTTAACTTGAGTGTAGCCATCTTCATCGGTGAACTCTTCGGATACTGTTTTAGTTTCCATGGGTTGTGATGGTTTGGAGCTTTTTTTAGACTTTTTTACTGGTTTTTCCTCTTCGGCAGGACTATCATCAGCTAAAATTTTAAGGGCGAGAGCTTCTTCGTCCTCTTCATCGGAGTCAAAAACTCTAACACGTTTACGTTTTTTACTTTTGGATACTTTTTGTACAGGTTCTTCCTCCATTGGCTCAATTTTGACTTTCGGAGGACTTGGTGGAGGGCTAGGTGTACGTTCAACGATAGCTATGGTGTCATCTTCTTTTTCTTTTTCTTCTTCTTCTTCTTCCTCTTCACTGAATGGGTCTGGCATGGGCTCCGGCACCGGCTCTGGCTTTTCCTTTTTAACTGCTTTTGAATCAAACCCTGTAAGCTTGGTTTGCTTTTTATTATTTCTATTCTTGCTATTAGTAGACTTCTTATTAAATCCATTGGTTTCTTTTTTAGGCTTCACAACTTCATTGACATTTTCTTTCTTTATTTCTTTTACTTTTGGTTCTTCATCAATTTTTAGCAATCCCAAAATCAATTTGATCTTCTCTACTCTATCTTCACGGAGCTTTATATCGTCATTTAGAATGTAAGTTAACCTAAAAGTTAAAAAAATGAGATGAGTAAAAACGCTCTGAATACATTAATGAAACTCACATACTTTTGATATTTGGAGACATCAGCCATATCTAAAATAGGAGCTTGATCAGCATCTTCAACAAAAGGTTCAACATCTTTTTCGGCTACTGAGAAAAGTGTACAACTATCGACCGTAGCGAATTCCTTTTTTATTTCTTCCAATTCATCAGCTTCAGCATAAGCAAGTTTAAAACTCTGTTGAGAAAATAATTAGAGGATTAAAATTTACAGTTCAGATCATTAAAAACCATATTTACCTTGTAAGAATCGCATGAGTCCTTTGAAGTTCCGGAGACAACATAAACACTACTTAATTTTTTGTCTCCATTATTCTCAGTTAGGAAGTCCTCCAGAATCCTAATCGTGATGAAGAAAAAAAATAATATGAATGATACGATGTAAAAGAAACTGATTTAAAGACATTACCTTCGAGCCTGAGAGACATGAACATTAAATTGTTGAACAACATCACGAACTGATATCTGAAAAAGGTTACAATGGATGAGAAAAGGAACGGAATACAAAGACAAGAAACATGATAGGAAACAAACACTTACACATTTTTTATTTGAATGAACAAGTTCCTTTAACTTATCGGAATAAGTCATTTTGATGAATATAAATAATAACAATTAAAATCGAACTGTATTGTCTGGCCAACAATTAGCTCATCTGTGGAAATGAAACAAATGAATGTATGACACTATATTTGCTACTTTACTCAAGTGAAGTTTGCCGCCAAACACAAAATAACTTAGGTGAGCGCAACTTTCAACAAGCATTGAGTGAAGACTCTCCTCTAACAATTATTAAGGCCAATTAAATGTTTGCAAACTGCCATCTATGGTAGAAAACATCGTTCTCTTTCTTTCTCTCTTTCTGTTCGCTTTCCTTGACTATTTGGAACTGATTATAAAAAAATAATTAATGAATAGAGACATTAAGCTTACACTTTTGACAATAAACTAACTTGTAAGCCCTAATCCTTTGTTTTGATTTTGCTAATCTCTGTACGGGGTTTCTTGAAAAGTCACAATTTTCTGTCAACAGATGGAAGTCTCAGAGCATTTTCAACAAAAAGTAACCCTTAGTTACTTACAAACATTATGTTTATCATTTAAGTTGGCGCCATTTAATGTCAAGCAAATGGTTTTCATGAAAATTAGTCGTCTTATCTTTTATTAATTCATCCTCGATTTTATTTATTTATTATTTGATATTTGCAAATTTTAACTTGTGATCTTCCTTATTTGTGTTCCATTCTTTTAATCCAAAATGGCTTGTGTTGATGTGGATGAACCAAAAGAGATAGTTTTCAAAAAGAAGGTAGGCAATATTTGTTTTTATTTTACTCTAACTTCTCCACTATTTTTGTTATTCTAATTCATGACTATTTCCACTCCAGTTTTCAGTACCAAGAAGTGTGTACTTAGAAGCCCTCAAAAATGCTCCTCCACCAAGAAGTTTGGCTCGGTATAAGGGTCAAAATATTAGATTGGATATAAGTGACACCATGTCACAGATTCGCCGCCAAAAAACAAGTCCTCAATCATCACGCAGTACTAGCAATTTTTTCAGTTTCAAGGCATCCCTTCTAAACAAAATGTACGAGGATAAAAAGAAGAGATGGGCTGATGAAGATGCTAGAAAGTTGAAATATTCGCAAGAAATTTATGATGAAGAAGAATTGGTTGATTTAGAAGAGGATTTAGAGATCTCTGATACTTCAGATGAACAAGAGCCTGAACAAGACGATTTAAATGATTTAGATGATTTAGAGGATTTAGATGATGCCGACCAAACAGAAGAAAAAGAAGATGTTGATGATATGGTTGTTAATAAAAAAAGGCGCCCTAAGATTGATGATGACGATGCAGATGAAGCTTCTGTCGACTTTGAAGATTTGCCAACCGAAGGAGAGGAAAGTGATTCAGAAGAAAAAGGCTCACCAGAAGAGGTAAAGGACATTCCAGAAAAAGTAAAAGACTCACCAGAAGAAGAAAAAGACTCGCCAGTTATTCAAGTTACTCCAGTTGCTGTTGTGGTAGAAAAAATTGCAATACCCGGTAAAAATGAAACACATACCATATCCGACCAAGAAGAAGGGTACGATGGAGAGATAGAAGACGATCCTGATAATGAATCAGATGATGATGATGACGCGCCAATTGATGATGAAGCCGAAGTAGAGAAGGATGATGAAGAAAATGATGAGGAAAATGAAGACGAGGACAAAGAAAATCAAAATGATGAAGAAGAAAATGTGAAAACAACTGATTTTATATTCAACGAAGCTGACGTGTCAGGGACTGATAGCTCTGATGATGAAGATCCAGATGACGACATAGATGAACTCATTGACGATGAAGGAGCAGAGAAAGTCGATAGCGAAAAAGCGCGTAAAGAAATTCAAAAAATTTATCACAAAGAGCTTTTAAATGAAGATAAGAGAATGCTTTTACAACTCCAAGAGAGATACTTGGAAGACGGTGATTTGCACTCTGATCAAAGACGTGTGAAAAAGTTCAGGTGGGGTACTGCAAATCCTGTATGGCTAGACAATGCAAGATATTCCGACTCTTCAACCGACATGTCAGACGATGACGATGATGACAATGATGGTGATAGACCAGTTTTCAAATTGAACAATATTTCATTACCTTCCACCTCTACTGAAAATAATGTAAGTATGCAACGCAACTAAATGCGTTTTCTGAGAAGTTTATTTTTCATTATTGTTTCACGCATTGACTAATTATTTTTCGAATTTTATTATTTTTCAGATTCAAGAGTCAACTCAGAAACCTCAGCCAATATTAGCGACTTCAAATGTTCAATCTTTTAATAAACCAACAGGTTTAATCACCTCTTATTTGGTGAGAGATAAACAACTGAATACCATTTTATCAACTAAAAGAAGAAACCCATTTAATAAGGATCGAATGGAGTTTAAAAGAATCAAGTCTGGACCACAAAAATGTAAAACTTTATTCGAACTTTACAGTAGAAATTAAATCCAACATATCATCAATTAATTATCAAAATTTGCAGCATTCATTTTTCTTGTCTTACTAGCAATTCTAAAACTCGAAAATCTAAGATAAAATGTAATAATTGTAAGAGGTAGAATGATGTTAAAGGAATTGATTTAACTAACTCAAAAAATAAAAAAAACAATGAGTAATTGTAGATAGCTTTGCAATAATTACATGACTTTATTATTTGATTTTTTTTTCTGATCACAACTAAAGTTCTTGACATGATCAAGAAAAAAAAGAACTGTATAACGAAATCAATTCAAAGGGCGTAAAGTCACCACTAAGAGCTTCATGCTAAACCACGAAAATTATAACTGACTTTACTTTTCAATACTGATCGCTAAATTGAAAATCGCTTAAATTCCAAAGAAATATTTCCCCGAGATTTTGTTCAGTCTAATCAAAATCATAATTATATTTTTGTAAATATCAATGATTCTAATTGGTGTAACTTAATATAATAAAATAAAAAGTTTCGCTCCATTTGTATTTTCAGATAAAACTTGTATCAAATATCAAATTCCCAGTCGTAGTCAGTTTCTTGCCAGACTTTGTGATAAACCAATTAAATTTTGTATTGAGATGAAAAAATGATGTATCTATACTTTGGTTTAATGTTAACTTTATTCAATGAATTGGATTTGTGAATTGGGTGTCAATGAGTATCGTGAGTTGAAAGGGCCAGGAAAAAGGGGTTAACAACAAAGGTTTTTAGATTAATGTGATCATTATCCTAATCATGATACAATGTTGATGCAAATATTGATGTATTATTAATAGTTGTGAGTGGTAAAATGTTTTCAATAAAATTGGCTGAAATTTAACTCAAAAGTGAGGAACAAAACAATCACAAAAAACGTATTTGAATTGCTTAAGAAATTGTTCATCTTTTTAGTAATTGGTGAAAATCATGATGATGACGATGATGAATAGTTTTTAGTATTATTGTTATCACCTTTAGATGATGGATGACGATCTCTCACCAATGAGGTGGATGAAGAAGATGATGAAGATGAAGATGAACTAGTAGTGATTACATTGACTCCATGATTTGTTTCTTTTGAGGTTGACGATGAGTAGTTTCCTTGAGTATTTGGATTACTATTCAAATTGAAGTTATTGTTTCCAAAACCAGACTCGACTGCTTCATCACTATTCCTTGTTCCTGCTGCCCAAGCAACCGATTTTTTTATTGTCGATCGATCACTTGTATTTATTGAACCAGTCAATACTCCTGCCATTCTTATTCTTGCAGTTTCTGATGTTTCCAATTCTTTAGATACTGTTGAGCTTTGATTTGTTTGTGATGAGTAGGGATCAGAGCGAAAAGGATTAGTTGAACTGTACAATTCGGCATAATTTTGAGAAGAAACAGGAGCTGATGAAGGCGAAGATGTCGATTGATTCTTAGTTAAAAAATTACGCGTTGATGGCGGTGAATCGGGTGATAAACGTTCATTGAGCTGAGTTGGTGAAGGACCAGGCGTCAACGAAGGTATTCCTAAATTGTCATCATTACTCGAGGGTAAAGATGCTCGAGTCTGATGCGGCTGTTGGTGTTGTGACTGTTGTAAATGAGAGTAATTGTGGTAATGGTAAGGGTCGCGTGATGAGGCAACATAAGTTAATGATGAACCTATCACAGGGCCGGTTTTTGATGAAGAGGAAGATGATGTTGATGTTGGTAGACTTGGTGCTGATGCAACAGCTCCAGAATTTGATATTTTACTTGGATCAGCTGAGTGTTGATGAGGTCCTGTTGATGAAGTATGTATTCCTTGTGCTGTACCAGGCTGACCAGATTTACCATTCAACAATGAATCTGTACTATTACTGTGCGATGTTGAGCCTGAAAAATAGACAAATAAATATAAATGTAAAGTCGGAAAAAATGATAGATTAAAAAGATTGATTATTGTAATTACCTCTTCGAGCGGGCCAGATTTCAATCAAGAATTTGAATACCTCGATAGGTTTTCTTAAAGATTCACTTTCAGGGTGAGCAGTGAATAATGGACCAAATGCTGTCGCCAAGGCTTGAGAATTCATTTTATTTCTTTCACTTTGACTCTCAACCAGTTTAAGATGGTCCATGAGGAACAGAACAGTACTCTAATCATTATTAAATAAAACAATTATTACAAAATATTGAACATGGTTGATAAATTGATTAGCAAGAAAAGGCTATCAAACACTTACTCTATTTATTTTGGGCAAACATTCTAATATGCTAAACATTAGTTTAGCATTACCCGGAGGATCATCAGGAAGGCAAACACTCAAGCCATCAACCATCATATCGAATAAAGCTTTGGTGAAAAGTGGCTCAGGTAACTCTCTAATATAATCTTTAAGTAAACCTGTAAGAAGTTAATCATTTAAATTAGTTCACTGTTGTCAATTTAAAAAAAAACATCAAATGTTTGACCAAGTAAATGGGTGGGAAGAGATTCAATCATATGAGATAAATGAGCAAGGTTTACATAATTGATTAGCTTCAACATTGGTTTTTTGATTAGCTCGATGCACGACACATAATTTCAATGTATACTAATGATGATACCAAATTAATCGAATACATGATAAATACCAAAGAGTTTGATCACTCTTGAAATTGTAAACAATTGACCAAATGATCGGATAAAATATCAAACCGTTTAAAATACAAATGTATTCACAAATGTATCGATTTGCATGATGTGAAAGATATGTTTGTTGAGATGAAAATCATTTTCTTAGACTGTATAAATGAAGTCCTGTTTATTTAAAGTACGAATGAAAGACGATTGTTGCTTTATCTGATATGCTCAATTTATTCCTGGTACAAAATTTAGGCAAAATTGTCTTTGAACATAATAGAAGACTAGAGCAGATTTACCGCCACATTTTTAAATAGTCAGAATAGACAAGAATTTGATCAGAATTTGATTACAATATAATTTATGACACATTATGATTTTCAATTCGATTTGAAAGCATTTTAAGAGAAAAAATTGTATTGGTTTGGTGACCAGGATTATCTGGTAATTTTGTAAACTTGATTTTTGGCTTTAAATTTGGAATTCCATTTAGTTAAACTTTTTCACAATGAATCAACGAAAAAAGCTTGATTTCAAAAAAAGGCTTATTCGTATCAGCTAAGAACCGGTATATTTACAAAAGAAAACCCGGAATTTCTTTCATAAGATACAATAAGACCATGACCAGAAGGTAGAGGAGAAAGAGAAAAGGAAGGTTGAGAAAGAGAAAGAGAGAGAGAGAAAGATAGGAGATTGAAAAAGAAAAAGCTAAAGAGCGAAAGATTGAGGATAAGAGTTGAGTGATTTGAGAGTAGGGAATGAATATCCTAGTCTCAGAAAAATAAACTTTTGGCAATTGATTAGAAAAATCCAATGAACTCTATAAAATGTATCCCTTTAAATCAAAATAGAATTTGGTCTTTGAGTTTGGCCGCATCTGCAGTTTCCATGATTAATCGCTTGATATTCGTTAATATTTTACTTGTTTCGACGTTTTCGAGCCAAAGTACGATGATTTTTCATTGTCTCATTACTATGAAGGAAATTCCAACATGGTTCACAGAAATAATGAGCACAAGCTCGACAATACAATGGCGCTGCTTGTGTTGTGCATAGAGAACAGTTAAGATTTTCCAAATAAGGATCCAATTGGAGCTAAAAAGGAAGAAAAAAATTGATTATCGATTTCAAATAAGGAGTTGTCTTTTTATTTGTAATACTTACTCTCTTTGTGACTCTTCCCATCTCAACGTCAATGAAAGCTGCTTCAACGGCTTTCTTGTGACTTCTAGTATCGCTGAATGCGATCCGAGCAGATCCTATTGGGTATCTATGGCGATCTACGTCAATTCCAGCATAGATTACATTACCAAACAGTTCATCCATTATTTTAGCCAAAGCTTCAGCAGTCATCATACCATGAAGATTTCCGACAAAAACTGTTTTGTTAAATTCAACTCTAAAATTCGAATCCTTGGTGTAATTACTATTACAGAGAGCCCATGGGATAACTTGAACATCTTTGTCAGGCATTCTTCGTGAAGGCAATTTTATATAATATTTCCCTCTACGAACTTCACACCGGGACAATAATGCTTTGACACATTTTTCTGATTCGAAGATCATATAATTATAACCCTTTTTCTTTTGCTTAGTCTTTGAATTTTCTTTTGGCCATTCAACCTCAACACGACCGAATGTTGAGAAAAATTGAATCAATTCCTCGTCTGTTAAATCATAAGGCGTACCACCGAGGAAAACTTTTGTTGAGTAACTTGGGTTTTTAACATCCGTGCTTGATATATTTCCGCTCCATTTGAGAGTAGCTTCTGAATAAGAGGCAGCAGTTCTTTGGAGCTCGATAGCTTTATCAAGATAATCTCGATGAGATCCAAATTTAGCATACATCCAGCGTTTATCTCCACTAAGTGAAGTTAACATGAACGGATCTGGGAAAGAAGCCGTTCGGCTAAGCCCAGGAGGATAGGCAGGCATAACCAGAGAGGTTGGATGTGGTAAAGAGAACATTGAAGCTGCAGCATTTGGCATCCGTGTAGATGCCTTAACTTGAGCTCGACATACCTCGTTAATAGAGGATGCTAAATTAAGTTGGGACATCAACTGGGTTACATATTCATCAGAAACCAAAGATCCAAGCGCTAAACCAGAATCCGAATTTATTGGTGAATTTGGAGATTCGCGACTATCACGACCTGAGCTACCAGAGTTGTTTAGTCTATTTGAAAAGGAAGACTCAAATGAGGTTGTTGGCTCTCCAGCGGAAAAAAGTCGAGAAGAATTGGAGTTGAGGCTATTACTATTATTGGTCGAGTTGTTAGAATTAGGAGCTCTTATAGCACGGATACCACTTCTCGGCGGTACTTGTCCAAAATTGTCACAGTTACGATTCAAACTTGCAGATAGAAGACTTCCATAGCTTCCGCATAAGTCCAACAATTTACTATCACCGGGAAAGCTAAAAGATGATCGCTGATTATTTCTAGAGCCATCATCACGATTATCCATAGGAATTGGAGTAGAACTGGTATTTACTTGGTTTGTCCATTCACGATATGGCCAATCTGAAGAGCCACGACCACTGTTGTCACTACTTCCCGATGAGGACACATCTGCAACATTAGTCCGTGGCCAAAAGTTGTCCCACATCAGGTTACTTGAATTTTCTTTATTACCATGATTGGTAATATTACCACCAATATTACCATTTCCATTATTCACATTACTTGAATTGCCAGAGCCAAACGTGTTTGATCGACTAGGACTTGATCTGGATTCATTGGAGGAAGTTGACGTTGAAGTTGGAGTAAAGAATCGTCCACCATGGTCAATATTTTCAGTCGTTGAAGATCTTAGATTAGTAGGAAACAAATCTGATCCAAGGCTAGTTTCCCAGCCGAGTAAATCGAACTTCCACTTTGAATCAATTTTGGCGATTTAGATAACAATTTCACACACAAAAAAATTACAGTGATTTGGTAAGAGAGGTAAAAAGAGGATGAGAACGATGAAGTGTACAATCCGACAAAGATTAGGCAGCAAAAAACCAATGGTCTAAACTAAAGGTTTAGTCTTTTTGCAAAAAGTAAATCAATTGAAGAGATTTAAATTTTGTCGTAAGGTAATGGTGAGTGTATAACAAATAAATAGTTAATTTACAAAAATTATATTAGATTAGTGAGTTACAGAGTAGAGATGGATTCGTATAATATTAAAGAAATAAGAAAAGAAGGGAAAAAAATAAATTAAGAAAGTAAATTAAAGTAGCAAAATTGAAATTAAATTATAAAGTCGAATGTTGAATAAAAGTGACAAGTTCTTTTCTCCACTTCCATTGGAACAATAAATATTCTCATATTTTATTCTCCCTTTTTCTCTCTTACAATTTCTTCCCCTTTAATCTCACTCACATTCTCACCTTTACTCTCTTACGTTGACTCCCTTAGCCATTGAGCCCGCCTGAGCTAATCTCTGGAGACAGAGATTCTGTCTTAAACTGATTAGAAAATGTTGAATTTTAAAGATCTGTGTTTGGTCTAATGTTAATCAAGTTAATCGTTTTAATTTTTTTATAATTCCTACCTTAAGGTTTAATAAACTAGACAGTTATCGTCATTGATTATTAATTAAAAACCTTTGGTTGGTCAGTGATTACCCATTATCAAAAAGTGAAACTGTAAAATCAATGGAGACGGAAAAAAAGTTATCAATGTAAGCTGCCTTTGCTTCAATTGATGTTACCATTCTTTGGTTTATTCCATCGTCATAATCATAGTTATCATCATTTTATCTTCAACCTCTTTCTTTCCTTCATTTTTGGTATCACCCAGGGGATGTATTGTGAGCAATAGTTTTGACCGGATATGTTTATATCAATCAACAGGATGATTGGTACTCCTATGCTGCTTTGGGTAACATTCAACTTGTGAATCAATTTGTTGTCATTGATAAAATATGCGCGACAAACCAATTGAACCAGTGTTACTTTTTTTATACCATTTTAATCAGGTTTTTCACCTGGTTAATCAGTTGCAACTGATTCTGATAGTAAGTATTGATTTAACAATTTTAAAACGTTTTGTCCATTATTTGAAATTTCAACCGTTTCAAAATTCATTGTGACATTTCTTAGCCATTATGATACATATATGAAGCCAGGTCAAATTACAAGACAATAATTTTTGGCATTCAATGGTTTCTAAAGTGATTAATGTAAAATTTTTGATCACTTTTTTAACCAACTAAGAGCATTAAAAAAGTTCAAACCCACTGCGACTAGCCTTAACATTGAGCATTAAAACAGGTCTTTAGTCTAGCAAGAAAGCATATTATTTTGTATAATGCCTGGAGAATGTCTTCATTTATTTTTTCTTTGTTGATTGTTTTAGAGATAAGCTAAATAAACTTTAGTGAACTAATCAGTTTATAACCAATGTTTTTTTTTCTTATAGATTTGGAAACTAACCAGATTATGTAAACCAACGTGTAAAAGGATTAGGAAAAAAGATTGCTTTGTCAACTTACTTGTGATAACATTGATGTCAGGCACATGCTCAGCGGACAAATCGACAAGCCATGAATTTTTCTCGAAAGCTTCCCGTAGAAGTTTCTTCCGTACTGCTGAACCACACAGACGATAGATACCAACCAGAGTTAGACCTCGTTTTTCAACTTCTTGTGTACACCTCTTCACAATGAGAGGAACTGAGAGGCCGCTGTTTTCGCGGTTAACTAATGATTCAAGACCTAAACCGAAAACAGCGTTTGCTGGGGCAATGGTTGGACTGAGTGGAGTTCGCTGGAATGATATACTTATATCTTTGTATCGTATTTTAATATATAGAGTTCCTTTGGGCTCCATTTTTAGTGCTAAACTATGAACTGGTGTTTCGATGAGGGAAAGGCCTATTAAATTAATAGAACCCTTGTAGCACAATTTATGACGATACTGAGGATCCCAGCTGTACAAGAGAAATGAGATCTCTTTATTTTCAACTAAATCGAGTTCAAATATTTCATCCCAGTCGAAACTACTTTCACCACTTCTAACCACTGTTCTAGCCTTGTGAACACGATCACATTCGATTACACAATATAAATCACGATGATTGGTGGGAACACTTCCTGACCTTAAACCACGGCCAGCAAGTAAATGAATCCAAAGGACTCCATTAAATCCAAGGGGCTTTTTGCGCGTATCTTTTTTATCTGCTTCCCCTGACTCTTCATCTCCCTCTCGACCTGATGTCGCTGCACCAGTAGCTGTCCCTGTTGATGGAGATACTTCACTCTCTGGTGGAGGCTTTTCGTATCGATACTTAAAAAATTCTCGAGGATTCAAAGTTAGTAGATGCATTCGTTCTTCTTCAGATGCTTTCACTGGTGTAGGATGGGGAATAGAACGAAGATTTTCACCAGTTAAAGTTGAAATTGCAGATGCTGGGGCACCTATACTAGATATCCCACTAGTTGGAATAACTCCACTTGTAATGTTTGCACTGTTTGGCATTCCCGGTGGTGTAGGACCTATTGCAGTTGGCGTGGCTGCAGAGATCAGAGGTCGAGAAGGAGCAGGAGCCGGACGCAAAGAATGAGACACACCAATTGTCGATACAGAGTCACTAGATAGATCCGGTTTAAGCAGAGATGAAGGCAATTGAGAAGTTGATCGATCAGTTCCGAGTCCTGGTCGATTTGCATATATATCAGCTAGCATACTTTTCTGCTGCTCCTGTTGTATTTTTGTTTCCCGCGTGAAAAAGTTTATATGATTTCCAGAAATATGGATAATCCAGAGTTCAATAGGACCATTGCATGGAAGAGGAAGAAACAATTGAAAATGAACATTAATTGACACGTCGAGCATGATAAACTTGGAGATGTTTCTGAGTGGTAATAATTTTAATTGCAACAATGGCTCATAATAGTTCCTGATCTAGCCATTTGTTTTGGACCTTAGGATCTCTTGAGAATTTGGAAAGTTAATGGTCAATTATAATGTTCTCAAAATATTTGTTGATAGGTTAATCATTGGAGGTTTTGTATTTTATCAAGACAACAAGAACAAGTTAGTCTAACCTGATAAGAACATGAAGGATTCAAAAGTAATTTGAACATGAGAAAGCTTTTTACAGTTGCTGAAGAGAATAGCTTCTGAGCCATCACAATGAATGTAAAACTGCTACTCTCTACTGGCTTACCTTCATTAGAGTTGAACACTTTCTCTATCAAAAGAATGAATTCTTCTAACATCAAAATTCATCATTGGTAACTTTTTATTCATCTGTACCCAACCTGTAAAGCTGATTAACTTTGGTGGTGCCTATCGGTTAGAACGATTGATGAGTGACTTATCAGATTCTGAGAATGGCCGAGTTAAGTCTCATGTATTAATATAACAAACAATCAGGACAAGAGAAAATAGTGAAGCTCAAACTGAACGATTAATGATAAAAGAAGTCAAACTTAACAAACTGATGGGACGAACAACTTTCAGTCTTCTTCATCTTATCAAGTCAATTGTTTTCATACATAATTTGACATTCAAGGATCAATCTCTAAAGAGGATATTGAATGTTTCGAAATAAACTTGAATAAACCAATCGAGAATTAACTCAAGAGTAGTCTTCAGACTAGTCAATTTCATTTGGCTATTATGATTGAAAAGTTTATTCAAAGCAGCTCTGAACCAATGGAGGAGAAACCTAATTTCAAAGAAATTGTAATGAATGCAGTCTCCATAACATTGATGAAGATAAAGAACAACCATCTAGAGAAAAGACGAAAACTCCAATATTGATTTAAAATTTGATGGGGATAACAATTTTCTTTTGAACTGTGTCATGTTGAAGATGATAAATTGGAATTCGCTAGACTCATATCTCTTAATTCACATCCCGTAAATCAAATGATAAAAATATCTAATATGGCAACAAAGTTTTTATTTTATAAGATAATACTGATGACGTTGATTCAGAGTCCGAAAATTACCTGTTTACTCTTTAGCCTATTCTACCCAGTTATCTTATCGCATTCAACCAATGATGATCATCTTATTCTTATCATCTATATATTGATTTACATCATTTCTCAAACCAAGCAGATAAACTGGTTAAAGATTTATTTATAAAGTTTCTTAAGAAATCCAACTGAGTCTCTATGAAATAGGAAATCGACAGAGAAGAGAAGAACCTTCCATGTTAGACATAACATGTCTTCAACGCTGATAATGATAGATCTTGATATTTCCTGATTCAATATTCTCTTGGCTCTTACGTACAGTTATTGAATTATCCTTCAGCCATTGAGTAACTCATACGATAACATTATATGCAAAAATATGGATTTGTGACTAATTTTAAGAAGAAACAAAATCGAAACTTACCGTTCTTATTGTATCAAGCAAACTTTCAGCACTATGAGCTATCCTACTAAGGCTGGTTGAGCTTAAACCGGATGGGAGGGCTGACGATCGACCCGATGTTCGACGAATGGTTTCATATATTGCTGATGTTGATGGAGCTCTAGGAATCCATTGTTTGTATTCATCTTGAGGAAGACGACCACTCATATGGCGGCGACCTTTGATATTTGATGCATATTTGTGTAATCAATGTGTGCAGTTGACAGGATGGTTCCGAAAAAAAGAAGAATAACAAAAAGGTGGAAGCAAAACAGGAGACAAGAGGACAACAACGTAAGGAGAGAGAAAAAAATTATCACATTCACGAAATATTTTGACAAAATCCAGATAGACAGATAAAAAGTCAACAAGATAACAAATGAAGAAGATACCAAAGTAACGAGGAGAGCAAATATGGATTGTCAAGAGGTGGAAAGAAAGAGAAAAAAAGAGAGAGAAAGAGAGAGAGAGAAGAAATTAGGTTCATCATGTAAGATGAAAAAGGTGAAGGGTTCACAAGATATCTTAACGGTTTATTGTAAATAGTTTACTAAAACGAAAAAAAGAAAGAGAGAAAGAAAGAAAGAAAAAAGAGCAAAATGAGAGAAGAGATCATATAGTCGAAGAGAATAAAAATAATGGTCATGATAGCAATGATTAGGAATTTCGAAAAGAAAATACAGAGATAAGATTGAAGTTTGAGAGAGAAAGAGAGAGATGCTTATTTGATTATCAAGATGAGCTGTATTCTGTTAACCTGTTCTCATACTCGTCCAACCATTGAATCTTTGCATAAGATGAAGAAAGGTCAATCACTATTAGATAACTCGAGTAAAGGCATGATAATAACGATGCATTTAGAAGTGGCTTAATGTTGCTGAAATTAGGTAAATACACAATTTGAAGAATATTCAGTGAAACTTGTGAAAATTTCCTTGAACTAAAATTAATTGCGGATGCAATTCACAATGAAATTACTTGTCATAACTGGAAAGTCAAAAAAGATGGCTGACTTGGTCACCATCTTTAACTTGAAACTGCACAATTCGAATATCGAATTGCAAAAAGTAGAAAATATTTGAAGAGCTTTTAGCACACAATTTAACTCCCATTAATTTTACAATTGGATAAGATTAACTTGATTAACATTTTTCTACAACACAATTAAATTAAAACTTGTAAAACACAGAATAACTTGAGATAAATTTAGCTTGAAATGGCTTTTAGAGTTACAATTAAATAAGTTCTGTGGAGGAGAAATGAACATGCAACATAAATCATTCAATAATAGATTAAATAATGTATGCAAACAAAGTAAATAATCAATATAATTGGCTAACTTATCAACTGATGAGTGAATGTTAAATTAGTCAGTTAATATTAGTCAAAATATTAAAGATTTTCCCGGGTTGATTTGGATGATGTAATTGTTTATTGAGCCTGGGAAAATTTACTTTCTTTCCTTTACTTCTTTTACTTTCAATATTACCTTTTATATAAAAAGTGATTCCTTGTTGGTTTAGGTTGTTTTTTGGTTAAAAAAGTACAGCACAATTAAAAAACTTAAGTTTGATTAAAACAGATTGGAGCAATTAAAATAACTTGATAAAAGACTTGGTTAAAACACTCTCTGTGACAAAAAGAAAAGCTCTTCACTTTGTGGTCATTTTCTACAAAATTGTGGTTTCTAATATTTTCTCTTGTCGCAAAAACGTGATTAATGCAAATTATACTAAAATGACTACATAAAACTCTTCTCATCTTTCTCTTTTTTCTGTTTTTTTTCAGATTTTTTCAAAATTTCTTTTACTCACCTAATGATCGTTTTGACCTGTAATTTTCTGGTAATTCTGGTGCTGATAATGCTCCATCACTATCATCATCATAAGCAGCATTGTATGCATTGTTATTTCGTTCAAAACGCACTGATTGGCCACCTCGTTGACCTCTTCTAAGTTGTGAGCTTGGTCTGTTGTAACGATAATCACTTGTCAGACCAGAACCACTTTGACGGGGAAGTGAACTACTTTTCCACTGATATACCTCTCTGGATGAAGGGCCACCATATCGACCATGTCCACTGGATTTATGGCGCCAATGTGAAGGATGTCTCCCTGTTAACCCACCAACCTCTGTATCAGAGACACTACCATCGGTAGCCTGTGCATGCTGACCTCTTCTACGAAGTATACTAGACAATCCATGAGTTGATAGTGAGGATCTAATGTCATTGGGTGTTTTTCCGTAGGCCACTAAACTGTGATAATCTGCTGAAGTCATTGATCGACCTGAACTTCTACTTTGAGGTCTAATGTAGTGATCAGGTCTAAAGTCTCGTGTTAGTGGGCTTATATTATTATCACTTTCGGTTCTCAAAAGACGGATATTGCGTCTCAAAGATCCGGTTCCCACTCCTGCATAATCGCCTTCACCTGCGTAACGATTTCCTGCTCGACTTGGTGACCCTCTTTCAATAAATGATCGACTCATCATTGGTGATCTACCAGCTGTGGGGGGAACTCCCCCTCTAGAAACACTCGAGTAGGATACATCTGAATTGTAACCCGAATAAATTTGATTCAAACTGTCCATAGTTCGTGGGAACCTTTGTACACCTAATGGATTATTCATCGATGCCATACCAGGTATACTGTTACCCGCTACACCAGGAAAAGGAGGTTTACGATTAATAGTTCCTGAAACTGACCATGAATCTGTTGGTCTTCCACTAGGATGTCGAGGTGCTAATCTCACATAACCATAAGGAGACTCAGAATAAGAATCACTCTCATTCTGATGATAACCTAAAGCTTGAAGAGGAAGATCAGCCCCTGTTAGTCCTTTGAGTCGATCAGAAAGCAAATGGCCATTCTCATCGTCTCTATTGCTACTTAAATCATCTGTTCCATATTCTTCGTCACCAAACTCTTTTTTCAACACAACAACAGGAGGTTGACGATATTCTTCACCCTCGTACAACCTCCTATTGCCCATCATTACACTGCCCCCTGGGCCACTTATTAATGGTCCACCTAAACGACCAGCTCTTGATCGAATGGTAAGGACCAAACGTCTTGGTATGGACATAATGATAACAACATCGTCCAGAGACATTCGTCGAACGTCAACTAAATTAACAGCTAATATCTCATCGCCCACTTTAAGTAGGCCACTATTATACACTGGACTTTCTAAGGCAATTCTTGATATGAAAACACCGTCTGAAGAACGAAATCCATCTCCTTCACGTATATAAAGTCCTAAAGTTTGTCCGGGTCGTTTAACTATTTCAACAAACTGTACACTTGTTGACCCATCCATTGAACTAGTTGGTTCTAAATACTTTCGAGCAACCTCAGCTCCCGCTTTACCAAGACTTCGAGGATCCAACAGACGTATTAACATTTCCCCTCGTTTCTCAGCTGCTTCCATATGAGCCGCAGTGGTAGCGTCATACTCTCGTTCAACTGCTTCAATTTGTCTAAATATTTCTGATGTAATACCACTCACTTTACGAAAATCACCTTGAATAACCATATCTGGATGACGAGAGCCATCAGTATCTACAGAATGAAAACTATAAGCTGACACGGGAAAATGAACTGCACGCCGTAAAGGTGGTCCACCAACTAATGCACCAGTTGGCATATCCATAGGATCTTGATATATTGGGTAACCTGGTTGAGTCATGTACCTCATTCCGAGGCCTCCTCCTTCACCAACAATACGTTGGTTTGAAGCTCCTCGAGAATCCTGTATGGATAAGCGTTTCAAATTAATAATTAATATTGTTTCGAGTTAATTGTTGCTTTTGTATTCTTCTGAAAACTGTTGAACTTCTAGGTGTTAAAAAGGAAAGTTAAAGACCTTTACAATCTTCATGAGGTGAATTTTCATAAGAGATCATAGGGTTAAAACGTTTGAATAGAGAAAGAAAAAATAGAATAGAGGAATAAAAAAGAAATACCAATTGCATGCAAATTTACGAATATACACAGAAGTAAAATAGAATTGTCATGCAAATGAATAGACTCACTCAAATGTATGCATTAATATATCTACTGTATTGTTAATTGTACAGATGGAAAGGTTTAATTTTGGTACAATTGACACGAAACGTAAAGTCCAATAGATTTATTATTATTAAAGAAAAGACGAAAAGAGGACCAAAAAATGGATAAAGTAAGGAATGTATATTTATATATTATCTATTTTATATGTAATATTATATAAATCATTGTATACCTTTTTACGTCCACAGCACAACATTGTGGAAATATTGATGATATGTTGAACCTTTCTTTTGATTAATGGTAATGTCTGCGAAACCGATGATGACGATATTGACAGAAAAGGCAGTGATGTCATGTGTGCTGAAATGAACCTAAATCAGCTAAAAACTTTATTTCACTCTTGCTAAATCCTTTTGACCAAAGCTGGTTACTGAATGGATTGAGAGGAAAAAAAAGACAAGATAAGAATCAGGTAAGGATGAAATGGAATTGTAAACAAAAAGATAATATAAAGAAGAACCGGAAGAAGTGATTCTAAATATATTCTGACAAATGGATGATCGTTCAAGAGATTAGCGAGATACATCAAATGTACAGCAATGAAGGAATGACAAAATAATGTGTTTCTTTGGAGACAATAAAGAAATGAAAAGATGATAAAGTACAACTGTGATGTTTACTTCTATCATAAATTGAACTGTAAATGTTGAATATCAACTTATTTATCCTATTATAACACTAAAGGCTGGAACCGGTATCGATTAAAAGATGAATCTCTACTTGTGTTATGAAATATTGTTTTTTTATTCTGTATTGTGCAGTGAAGCTTTCTTTCAGTTGTTTTGTGGCTTACTTATTTGTCTTTTTTTCCTAAATAATTTGAATTCTTTCTGTTGCTAATGATATTTCAATTTTTTCTCGTTTCTTTCAATATTAGGTTTATGTTGGACAGTTTTGATAGGGATTCCACTTTTCGATTAAGCTTCAACTTTAACCAGTTTCAAATTAAATGAGAAATGACTGAATGTAGTGAAAAGCTGATGGAAAAAAATTTTATCTGTAAAAACAGATGAATGGATGACCCAAAAATTGTAAGAGGCTTACCTATAATTAAAAGTGATATTTGGATAAAGTATAACAAAATAATTTCTTTGATGGTTTGCCTGTCGAGAAGATGAACAAAAAATGAGCAAAATATTATTTAAATTGTGACTGGAAAAGACCAAAATTTGAAAAGGACTCACCATTTGGTTTGGACCACTCTGTATATAAATTTTGTAGGAAGAATTGAATTCACCCAATTCAAATGGTAACAAGCAACATAAAATTGACAACAGATGAAGAGAAGATTACAAATTCCAATTTAAGCACTTGGAATGATTATCACTGATTATTTAGTAGTAAGATGTAAAGAGGTAGGTTAAGATGACACAACAAAAGCAATATTTAAACAACCATTTACAAACAACTATTTCATTACGATGCACTACTGTCGATTAATCCATTGGTTTCGTTTTATTTTTTTTCATCAGGTTCTAAAGTTCCAATAAAATTGAAAGCTGTAGCTATAACTAAGAAAACGTCAAAGCAAAATCACTTCCAATCACATTATCGGTTTATGGGACTTTGAGTAATTATCAATGGTCCAATTGGTTTAGCCTGATATTTATGCGTTTGGTATTAATTCAAGTTTTGGTGAACTGATGGATCAGGAAAATGCAATCAAACCAATTTGAATGAACCTGGAAAATCACAAAAAAATGAGATCAACACAATGAATGAAACAGGTCTTAAAATGGCTAATGTGGATATTTACCTTTAACCACTGAAGAGTCAATCCATGGTAAATTTAATAATGAAAATGAAATATTTGAATGCACACATACACACCAAGGATGATTCAATTGAGGATAATAGTGAAGTTGGTTAAAATACAACATAATAAGAAATACAATTATAAAAGTATCACCGGCATCATTAATTGTGAAACAAGAATACGAAGACAGGGAATCTTGTCCCCATTTGGTGATGGATGTAAAATCATTGTTTCAACTCACTTTTTATTTCATATACTCTGTTATCCTCCCTCCCTTTCTCTGATTCTCTCCCTATCTATCTCTCTATCCCTCCCTGAACACACAAGCTCAAAATGTATTCATCACAATAACTCACTCTGCTTCTATCCAAACACTTTTGATTATATCAGTGAAACCAATTTTTTAACCAACTCGTTGTGGTCAGGGGAAAAATTGTGTTAATCTGAAATCGAGCCTTTGTTTTAGATGATTAATGAGTGAGTTAAATTGATGATGATTGCCCCATATCAGGATATGAATTACTGTATAAGCCAAGTATGAGCAAATCTGGAAAGGCTAAAAAATGAACTTGATATTGATAAATTTTTCTCAAATTGATCAATTTCTCAGCTTAAATATCGTAATTGATATCATTTCAAAGTGCTTGGTATTAAGTTTTGATAGTTATTCAGCCGGAGGTTGGCTTCGCGGATAGTTTTACGCGAAGACTTTGATAACCAGTAATGCTGTGAAACAGAAGAGGTTAGGGAGATTGTGTACAGTAAATAGAGATGATAAATACAATCACTCGAAAAAAAGGTTTCAACACAAACTGGAACACACACAGACTCCGAAAAGCTGAACCAGGATAATAACCAGGGACCATTTAGTTATTATCAAGAAGCGATCATTGAATTTCAAGGGTTGATGCATGATAAATTGATTTCTTTGAAAGTTAAGCAAATTTATTCTTTAAACCAATTTCTAACCAACATCAATTGTTGAAAATTCAAATTAGCATTATATTGAAAATTGATTGAATCCAAGCTTGATTATTCCAACTTTGCTCCATTCAATTATCACTGATTGTCAATTATCAATGGTTGCATTGTTGAATAAAATATAGATAGGTAAATAATTATCTTCTCTGAATATTTAATTGATTCAGGCCTTAATAATTTAGATTTTAAAATTATTTAATTCTTGTATTCAATGTTGACTGGGAGATTATTTTATGATCGGAATTTCCTTGATTGTAAACATTTACCAAAGGAGGATAGCCAAAATGTTGGATTTTCGGCCCATGATTCATATGATTTCGAACCATATATCAATCGAAAGCTTATGACGAGTAGAGTATACCTCCCTAAAAATCAGGTCGAAAATCGAATCCCCTGGGGAGTTATTCATCAACTCCCTTGGGACCCCATGAGGACCATATCAGACCCAATTTTTTAGATAGAACTTTTTATGCTGAATTCAATGATGCTAAGTAGGATGCTCTAAACCTGCGATATTTTGAGAAAACACACTTTGAAACTTTTTTTCTATGGGAAAATACATTCAAAGCCATGGCGTTTCTTTCTGACCCTCTGAGGATCAAATCAAACCTAGTACATATTGTTCACCACCCTCGAAACTATCATGAAACCCACAAAAAATATTCCTAAACCTGCGATATTTTATTTGCCATTCACATTTGTATTTTTGTCTATGGGAAAATACATTCAAAGCCATGGCGTTTCTTTCTGACCCTCTGAGGATCAAATCAAACCTAGTACATATTGTTCACCACCCTCGAAACTATCATGAAACCCACAAAAAATATTCCTAAACCTGCGATATTTTATTTGCCATTCACATTTGTATTTTTGTCTATGGGAAATACATTCAAAGCCATGGCGTTTCTTTCTGACCCTCTGAGGATCAAATCAAACCTAGTACATATTGTTCACCACCCTCGAAACTATCATGAAACCCACAAAAAATATTCCTAAACCTGCGATATTTTATTTGCCATTCACATTTGTATTTTTGTCTATGGGAAAATACATTCAAAGCCATGGCGTTTCTTTCTGACCCTCTGAGGATCAAATCAAACCTAGTACATATTGTCACCACCCTCGAAAC